GCACAGCAGTGACAATGACATGGTAGTGACATGTTGGTGTGTGCTGCACTGATATAATGTATCAGATACAACAGGGTTTTTGGAGGCTTTACACACTATACACTTACTGGTCACTTATTACACATCTGCATCGTTGGTACAGTGTGTAGCTGCACAGTTAGAAACTATAGCAGTTTCTGATGACAGGACCACCAATGGCTGGATATTTTAGTGTACTGGACAGCCTAAAAGTGACACCTCAGCAATGCCGCTGTGCCTGATACAATTGTACTAGCAGCACACACGCTACCACACCACTACAAAGTCTCTGTTACTGTTTGCTGAGAATTTATTGAAATATAACATTTACAAAAAGATAACTTGTTGGACCATAGACAAAAAATACAAAGAGGGAATGGCTCTCACATGACAATGACAGTGGCACAAAATAGCCTGGCATCAAATTTGAGCTGTTTTTGGCAAAAAGAAAAAATGTGACCAGTTGTCTCATAGCACTTTTTAAAATCTCTGGAGGTAATTTGATGTTAACGGGATTTATCCTTTTTTTCTCTCCCTGAACAGTTGCTGTTAAGAGGAACCCTATGTTTAGCAAAGCTGCTGATAGAAACATTGAAAGATTCATCAAGAGATGGTTGTAGCTGGCACTAGAATGGGATTCATTTATTTGTTTATTTTATGCAGGTGTGTATACAAGTTAGTCACCAAATTCAATAAATTGACAGTTGTTTTAAGTGTTTATAAATGTCCATTTTAATTCAAACAAGCTAAATTTGTATATATTAAGAATATATATTTGTAATCATAATTATCACAATATCTAAAACTACACAATATAGAAACTCAGTGTTGTCATTTTTCTGTTTTAGGAGATCTATACAGGTAATCTAGTTAGGTAATCTATTTACATTTTGCCAAATGGTATTCCCTAAAATTTCCTTTGTGGTATGTAAATGTAAAAGAGATTTCAATTTATTTAGTAATTATTGTGAGTTTAAATAATAATTTACATTCATAATAATTTGTTTACATTTAATAATTTTGTATTTTAACACAACAAGTTTAATCTGTGAATTAAGCTTTACGTTCATGTGGTGTAGTTCTAGTTGACAGGTCTCGGCCTAGCAGTGACACCTCAGCAATGCCACTGTGCCTGATAGTTTTAGATGTTAATGAGAGGTGTAGTTTGAAACCTGTAACTTTTTTTTCAGTCATAGAAAGAAATAATGACATTTAAATAAATTTGCATTAGATTAAGCATTGTAGGGGCTCATGGAGACCATTTTTGCACAGTATTTCCAAATTTGGTTAAAATCAGACAAAGACTGGTAGATTTGTAGCCCCTCATGTCAGAAAAGCTAAGGTTAAACAATGTAATTGATGTCTTTTGAGTAAAATACACAGAATAGTTTGAAAAGCTCATTTTTGAAACTTTAAACAATTGCAAGAAATTGTAAAGAATTTTGAAAGACTTGCATTAAAAAAATGTCAGTTTTCATGCTATGCTTGATTTATTTTTATCCAACAAAAAATCAATAAGACTTATTCTTGTCGTTTTTTGTTTTTTTTTAATGGGGTCACCTCATGGCCAATTGTTGTCAAACTTGATAGGCTATTACAGAATTCCTATGTGGACACATCATTCAATTTGTGTGATGATGGGCCAATGCTAAGCTCTCCAAATGCCTGTTTAAAACTTATTGGCCAATGGCGGCCATATTTGTCCAATGTTTGCATTGTCCTTAACACGTATAAAGTACCCCATTGATGCAGCATGCAAAGTTTTGGCTCAATTGGCCAAGCGGTTGCCGAGAAACAGATTTTTGGTTGTTATAGTGCCCCCTATTAAACTATAAGTATCAAACTTGGTGGACTTCCACAGAATCACGTCGGGTATAGGCTTGTTAAGTTTCATGAGAATTGACCAAAGCAGTCCTAATCTATAACCATTGTTGTGAATTAAGCTCCACCCAGAATGGTTTAATTGGCATGTGACAGCCATATTTTTATACATGTCAATCTTTTTTGGTAGTTATTTAGGATTTTGCAGATAATTTTAAAAAAATAAGGTTTTTCAAAAAATGCAAAATATCTCAATTTTTCCAGGGGGCCGTTTTGAGTTTTCGATGAGTTTTGGTACAGTATGAGTCAACAAAGCAGCACCAAGAATTATGTCTGTCACCTGTACGGACCAAATCTTAAAACTATGCTGTAGCCCTCCCCTTTAGGCCAGTTGGCGAACATTCTAGAGACTTTTAGTACAACCATCAGGAGTTATGGACACTTGAATGATATAAAATGTTACTTACCTGTATTCCTTTGAAGAACGTCCTTTAGGGGATGCTGGCGAGAACAGGGCCTCCTCTTATTCCAGTCGGACGGATCCACCGACACAGGGAGGAGGGGTCCACTCTCGTGCGGGTCCTGGAAAGAAAAAGAAAACACGGTTACAGTGATCATGATCTTTATATACATAATGTTTGTATATACACACCGATAAAACTGTCATGGGTTGCAAACAGGTGCATGTAATGTTGTTACTGTACAGTATGTGTTGAGTGTGTGTTAGCTGTGTACCCTGAGGTTGGGATTTGGTGTAGGCTGGGGCGGGGCTTAGGGTACAAGAGCTCCGGGACAGTCATTAAGAAAAAGCTCGCCTGTACTCACTACTAGCCGTCCGTGTAGTTTGAGTCAGCACATGTTGTTGATGTGTGTGTATGAGGAGTTCTAGCCTCGCGGCTGTTACTCCAATATACTTGTCAATAATGTATATTTTATTGTTTTTCATTTTGTTCAGTGTTCGTGTCCCGTCGTTTAATGGTCACTTCTAGTTGGAGTCATCCCGTTAGTACGCACCAGCCCACCCACACAGACTTTGACCACAGAGCTAACTTAAAGCCAAAGTCCTCCATCCGGGGGTATCACCATCTAATAACCAAAACCTCTTAAACTTGCAGTAATTAGACCTCTGATTAAGAACCCTAATCTTGATCCCTGCGAGCTGTCAAATTATAGATCTATCTCAAATCTTCCTTTTATATCAAAGATTTTGGAAGAAGCTGTGGCACAACAACTAAGTTCCTATTTGCGCAAGAATGACATATATTAAAAATTTCTGTCTGGGCTGGCCTCATCATAGTACAGAGACAGCACTAGTGAAAATTGTAAACAATCTCTTATTATTCTCTGACCAAGTTAACGTATCTCTGCTGGTTCTACTTGGTCTTAGTGCGGCATTTGATACGATAGGCTAGAAAACCTTGTGGGAGTAACAGGAATAGCTGTTTCCTGGTTCAGATCTTACCTGACTGATTGCTATGAGTTTGTGAATGTAAACAGTGAATCATCTGTTCTTACAAAGGTAAAGTATGGTGTTCCACAAGGCTCTGTTTTAGGACCTCTATTATTCATGTTACATATGGTAACACTGGGTACCATCATCAGTAAACATGGCCTCAATTTCCACTGCTACACTGTTGGCACACAATTGTATATATCGACCAAACCAGATGATAAACTTCAACTTCAGAACATTGAGAACTGTAAAAGACATAAAAGACTGGATGTTGAGTAACATCCTCCTACTCAACTCATATAAAACAGAGGTTCTTCTTCTTGGTCCAAAAGCTGCTAGAAACAAACTGTCTAATTTAACACTTCACATCTGGCACATCTGTAAAAAACCTTGGTATCCTTATCGAGCCTGATCTTTCCTTCAGTGCACATATGACCAATATTGCTAGAATAGCTGCCCTCCATCTTTGCAATATTGCCAAATTAAGAAATGTACTGCACTGTCTCTCTAGTTCATGCGTTTATTACCTCAAGGCCTGATCACTGTAATGCCCTGCTGTCTGGATGTTCCAGCAAAACCTTAACAAGCTTTACTTAGTCCTACACTGGTTGTAAGTTAAATTCTGCATTGACTACTAAATTCTTTTACTGATACATATAGCTCTGAATGATCTCGCCCCTCAAGTGAACTTATCTCTTATTATGAACCATCACACCTACCTAGATCACAGGGTGCTGGCTTACCTAGAATTAGTAAAATTACATTGGGGGTAGAGCCTTCACATACAAAGCCCCCCCCCAGCTTTGGAATAATCTTTCAGTCAGTGTACTCAGTGGATTCAGACACAGCCTCAGTCTTTAAGTCTAGGCTGTAAAACTGCTTGTTTAGTCAAGCTTTTGGTAAGTAGTTTTTCCCGTTAGATAAAAGGTGCTGATCTGGGAGTTCATGGACATAGACTATTATGGTAAACTAGGAGTGTTGCTGCTGTCCTGTTTCTCTCATGCGTTCACTCAAGTTTGTTGACGGTGGCGAAAGGGAGCTGACATCTCAGGGAACCCTCATGTCTCTGTTATCTTTTGGCTCTCCCTGTTAGGGGAGAAATAGCTAGACCTGCTGGAGTCTCTGCTGCACTCTGTTACACTGTTTACTATAATCAGTCTTTCTTAACAGAACTAACTGTGTGTTTCTTTGCCCATCCTGTGCGACCTGATGCTGTTGCTTCATCTGCCTTGATCGGGTGCCCACTGCTCACCCACTTTCTGAACCAATTTGACCACCATTTTGGAGCTTCCTGCTATACAGTGCTGTGCAAACCTCACCTGCATGCCATTTGACCCTCCTGATGATACTGCTGCATGCACAGACTCAGACTGTTTAATCATATCTATTGCTTCACCTGCTTTTCCCTTTTTCTGTATTTTAATATTTTATACTAATGTTAAAAGCTTATTGTCTGTTCATTTTGCTCATGTTATTGTTTTGCTTTCCAGTGTCAACCAGAGGAGGATGGGTTCCCCTTTTGAGTCTTGGTTCCTCTCAAGGTTTCTTCCTCTTGCGCTTAGGGAGTTTTTCCTTGCCACTGTCGCCATCGGTTTGCTCAATTTTTCTGTAAAGCTGCTTTGTGACAATGCCTGTTGTAAAAAGCGCTATATAAATAAACTTTAACTTGACTATGAGGCAGGCTGCACATAATGGTGTGACAGATGACCGGGTGGGGTGCCTGAAGAAGAAACTTCAGGGAGATGTCAAACAAGGGTATATATGCATTGTTTTGTGGCCTACTTAGTTTATATTGTTCTTTCTGGCCAATATAGCCTGTTAAGCTAATGTTAAATAACTCCTTCAGATGAAACACTTTACTGGGTGGCCTACTTGTAGCTTGTTTTTAATTTCTGTGTTAAAAATCAGAAACCCAAGACTTGAGATGAAGAAAGCATGTTAGTAATGGATTTAAAAATAGATGCTAGTTAAAAAAGGAAAGGTAAAAAAAATATAAATAAGGAGATGATATTTCTGTTAATTTAGAAATTATTACACACTGTATGCTGTGACTGATTTGGGGAACATTAAATATATTCATAGCTGACTCCTGTCACTGTTTCTTTACTGAATAAGTGTTTACTGTATAGCACACTGTTTACTGACTGATTGTGTATCCTCATACAGTTAGACTTTAGACTAGAGCATAAAGCCATAAAGCTAGATTAGATTTTGTTGAACCAAATAACTACAATGCAGTAAGAAACTTTGCACAGTTTGATTTCCAAATTCAATAACACACCCTATTGAGGGGTATTTGTTAGACATGAGACCTTCAAAAAGCAATGCATGACACCCAACCAAAGCATTTAGGAATGTTTGTTTAGGTGGGTGTAGTTTCACGAAACATCACTATGTCTCGGTCACTGCAAGTTGACATTTCGGTGTCCAGGTCTGTTTTATGGCTTTGCTCATGTGGTCAGATAGTAATTTTCCTTTAGGGTCCTTAAATGAAGCAGCATTTTTAGCAACTATAACATTACATGTACAAAGATGCTACCTTGTTATACAAGTTTTTGGGAAGTAACCAGTACAATATTTGTGACAGAGACGGAAAAATTATTACACTCACATGTTTTCTGTTTCAGGAAAATAAATAGTTCCATTCTTGGACACTTTTTTCATATGTTGGTATTTCTTATGATGTTTAAATTGCTATGTTTATTCAGTCCAACCATTTGTATACGAAGAATGCGTTTCAGATTACCCACAATGCAGGGACAACTGTTTGGGAAAGGTGTATGACGACATTTAGGAACTATAGCTAGCGCGTCAACACAATAACTGAGAAGATTAGGTTTTATAGTTGAATTGACATGTATCTACAGCATCATGAGCAATAACCCATCTGCTGAGTTTAGTTAAAAAAAACTGAGGGCTGAGGTGGCAACACTACATAGATCCCAATGTGAATGAACACATACAGCGCTTTATTCACTTTAATGGTGTTAATTTGTGTCTAGCTGGTCTACACTGTACATGTGAACTGAATACTAGCTGTACTTGTTTTTGATGTGGACTATTACATAATCAGTTGGGTAAACTGATGGTAATGATTAATATACTTTGAGGTCTTAACGTCGATAGATAAATATGAAAACATTCATAAACTTTGGAACTTGATCATTTATTGTTGCTGCTCTGCGGAAAGTGGGAAACTAGTTGACATGGGTACTGATAAGATTTGGATTTGGAAGATGAGTCAGCATAAGCCATAGGCCTTTAATTATCTACCACCAGCATAAACGTATTGGTTTTAAAAGTGTTTTCCGTTCAGGTACAGCTCCACCCTTTCATTGCATGCAAAGCACTGTGACCTGTTTCATTTATCCGGTTGATAAAAAATAATCAAAGTGCAGGGAATGGTTGGGTTTTGCTTTTGGTTATGCGACGGACTAAACCATTGCCATTATTTACTGTTACCTGTTAATTCTTTAAGAAATGATCTGCATCTTCACTCACCACTGCTCAAATTTCTGAAATACTTCAACCTTCCACACTAACTGACTGTAACTCTGTACTAAAATACTGATGGTTCACATAACACTCCTAAACAGATGTTTCTGCTCTAAATGGTTTTGCCCCATGTGACTATTTAAGCAGCTAGATCTAATATTTAATCAGAGATGCTTCTGCTTCCAGAGGAGCTGTAAGTAAAACTCATCATTTCATAGCTGTCAGATCTCTCTAATCGCTCAAATCATCAGTTATAATACATAGAATAGTCATTTGTAGAGCTTAGATAAGAACTTTAGCCAGATAATAGCTTATCTCAACTTTGTTTCCTTTGCACACTAGCTATTATCTAAATGTGTGATATATATGTTAAATAGTTAAATACAAATTTTAAGACTGAAATACTTCAAATAATTTATGGAATACTCTTCAAATGATGTTTGCTGCCATGTGTCTATGTGTGTGTGTGTGTGTAATGACACATCATTAAAATCACCTCTCCTGTGCTTCTGCGCTTTGCAGATCTCCTTCCATTTGCAGAAGTTCCAGTTACAACACAGTTAACCAATCTGAATACAGCTCTTCTGCTCTTTTACAGTAAAATCAGATGACGACCTCATGAAAACCTCAACCTGACACTCAGAAAAAAACATCAGCACTGTCACCATGGATTCATCCTCTGATCCAGATGTAAATATTGTTTCATAATAATGTTTCAAAAATAGGATACTATAATTTTATTATTTACAAATGATTTGTTCTCAAGTTCTGAGTATCTGTCTGATTGTCATTATTTAATCAGAATTGATACTGTTTTATTCCAAAAAAGTAAGTGGTAAACCCAAACCTCTCATCAAGATATAAAGTAAAACAACCTGCTGAAAACTTCTTAGACAAGCTAATGTGTTTCTACTTTTGGCACTTGAAGTCATAGATTGCTTCAAAACTGTCATTTTAATAGGTCATATTCAAGAGTCACATTTCTATGGTTTTGCCCGTAAAAAATCTTGGACTGTAAAATTGCTCAGATTCACTTTTTCAATAGACACTAAGAGTAAGACACAATTGATCAATTGAGTAGTAAGAGCACAAAAGTTACTGACTTGAGTAACAACCCATTCTGCTAAAACAAGCTCAAACACCAACTCACACCTGAAGCTCTACAGTGTCAAATTTGTAAGCATTGTAAGCATAATTGTAATAAAACTAGGTTTATAAAAGCCGAGGAGTGCATTAATTGATAACAATGTTAATCAGTTTTGTTGCATTAATTTTCATAGGACAGCATTTTACATCAACGAAAACTAGGATTTTTATAGCTAAGTATTAAACTGTATTAAAAACATAAAGTACTGTGCGAAAGACTTAAGACTAAGGCACCTATCATACTGTGTAAAACCATTCTTGGCAGTGTGTTTTGCCACCCAAAAACACCATATATCATTAAACATAAACACAGTAAAAAAAAAAAATAAAAATTTTGAATTTTGATAAAAAGTAGTTTTTGATATCTTGTGAGTTAGTTTGAAGAACAAAGTTTAGTTCCAGATTGGTCTTGGACACCTCCAGCCATCACATCGATTTGTTAAATTCCATCACCAGCACTCAGCAAATAAAAGATTACTGTCCAGATTAACAGCTTTATAATCCTATTTTTTTCAAGTCTTTTACACAGTACTGATAGTTTTAGTATTCCTTTGAGATATCTATTAAAATATTAACATTTTCAACCCAAGGAATTTGAAGATGCCACCGATGACTTCATCCAAGATGAGGTACAAAAAGGTTCTTCAAGAACTTGTTTTGTTCAGTCAGGAAATGAGGAGGACACTGTCACATCAAAAGGTACAGTGCATTGACAGCATCCATGTATTTATATGAATAGTTTGTACCAGATCTTTCATTCACTGATCCCAGATGTAGACTATTTTCAAAATGTATTTTTACAGTTTTTACTGCACATCTGCTTAAAAAACATCATGCATATTCTGATTACATGATTACATTCTGTTAATTACATTTTTTAAATTTACTAACTACTTTTAAAAAAATAATTGTGTCTCTGTGTGTATATAAATTAACAAGGTAGCAGGTAAGTAAGAAGTATGATAATTACCTAGGATTTGTTACTATAAATAAATAATTACAGTATACAATTTACCATTTAATGACTCTTTGATGTTCCCCAAAAATATTGAATGAAACATCATACAAATAAATAAAAAATGAATAAAAATATGAAGTGTGGCATGTGCAGAAGTTTAGACACCTATTTAATCAGTAGTTGGTAAGACCCCCTTTGGCTGAAGTCAAAGCCTCTAAACATTTCCTTTAGCTAGGGCCGGCTCTAGACTTTTGGGCGCCACCATCTACCCTATTCCCTCCCCAGACCTAAACATTGTAAACAGTTTAAAAATAAAAGCAAAGAGAATAATTTGTGGCCCTACTAAGTGCCTTGGTGATGTCAGCTTTTTCTAATCCAATAGCTTTTTTCTGCAGTTCTCACTCAGGCTAAGCCAGTTAGCTTGAGAGCACCTTCATGTAATTATGTTCACATAATAGCATTCATAATCATTATATTTTTGTTTATTTTTGTTATTATATTTTTGTTTACTCTTTGTATTACTGATGACGGTAAGCTAATGAATGTCCATTTAGAGTTCTAAAAAGTGTAAATTACAGATAGCCATCTCAGTGTTCTCTGTCCAAACCAGCTACTTCTTGTTTTGCACCTAAAAGCCAAAATAAATGTTAACCTTTATCTTTTGGATTTTTCTCCTCATCTTCTCTTTTTTTAATTTTCCATGTTTATGTATGTGCTTTTTTGAGGCGTGATTAACCAGTCATGCTTGTAGTCATAAGTTGTCTTGCATGCACAGCATGTTTAAGATCTAATCACAGATTTTCAGTAACAGTCCAGACTGGGGTTGGTGACAGCCATTCCAAAACCTTAATCTTATGTTTCTTCATGTAGTTCAAGGTTGATTTTGATGTGTGTTTTGGATCATTGTTTTGTTGTTACAGTGCCCTCTACAGATATTGGCACCCTGTAATCAAGAGCAAAACAGGCTGTACATTTTTTTTTTCTTTATTGCTTATCCATTTGATCTTTGATTCAAAATATTAACAAAAATCTAACCTTTATTACAATGAAAAAAATGAAAAAATGATGACAAAACCTATATTTAATCAGGAAATAAATATTTTTCTCAAATCTATGTGTGCAATTGTTGGCACCCTTTCTGCATCCTCCTTTTGCAAAGATAACAGCTCTTCTCGTATAATGCTTAATGAGACTGGAGAACACATGGCAAAGGATCTGAGAGCATTCCTCCATACAGAACCTTTATAGATTACATGTAACCAAATAAATTGTCCAGGGCCTTTGGAAGGAAAACAGCCTCACAGTATCACAGATCCACCATAATACATATCAGTGTGAATGGGGTACTGCATGGCTATCTTTGCGTCCACGCCAAACTCACCTCTGGTGTTTGTTGCCAAAAACCTCTATTTTGGTCTCACCTGACCATAAAATATGGCCCTACTCCCTGACAAAACAACTTGTGCTTATATAAGTGGTGTTTAATTGTGGTTTGGGAGACATTCTCACCCCAAGACCTAACTATTGTCTTCAATTTCCCATCTGTGATCCTTGGAGATTCTTTGTCCACTTGAACCATCCTCCTCACTGTGAGTGGGGTCAGTACGTACAACAGTACGTCCTCTTCCTGGCGGATTCTTAACATCTCCAGTTGTTTTAAACTTACCAATTATTGTCCTAATAGTGAAATATATTCATCTCATATATATTCTCTAATGAAAGAGAAGTCATGGCTGACCATTTAAATGTTCCTAATTGTTCAGGTGAACTTAAAAACATAAAAATATGAATGGGAATATACTAATTTTAAAGCTTCCAAGCATTTGAGGCAAACATACAAAATATTTATTTCATGACAAGATTTGTTTTTTTCTTTCAGTCTGTGTTCCTTAAATAAAGGTTAGATTTTAGCTAATATTTTGAATGAAAGATGAAAAGCATAGATAATGAAGAATATTTTTTACAGCCCGTTTTGCTCATGATTACCAGGGGTGCCAGCATTTGTGGAGGGCAATGTATATCCAACCTCTATTCATCTTCATTTTCTTTGCTGACTGCAGAAGATTAACTTGCAGGGTTTTCTGCTTTTTAGCCCCACAACATTTCCGGTGCCACTGGCTGCTGTACAATCTCAAAACATATTACATCCACCCCCATGCTTAACAGTTGGCAAGATGTTCTTTTCATCAGATGCTGAATTTTGTGATGACATCACAGTTAAGGTTACCTTCTGTGATTCTTCTACCTAGATGATGTTTGTGCAACAACACTGCACAGTAGACCCATGCATCACTATTCCTGTGCCAGCCTCATCTTCCTTTAGCTTTTTGGCAGTGATGTGGGAGTATCAGTCTGTGAGCAATTCTGTCAGGAGATTTCCAGGATACTCCAAATCTCGTATCTTGATTTTAACAGTTCTCCTTACCTTCCATTTCTTGTTCAGATATCTTTTTGTAGTCTTCTCTTGCTCTGTAAGAGTCAGTTATCTTTGTTTCAGATACTCAGTCAGCTGCTTAGATTAGCCTAATATTTCAAAAGCTCTATGACCTTAATAATAATTGTGCATCAACATTTGCAGAAATATGTCATATTTGTTTAGTTTGTCCAGGGGTTATGTTAGTCTCTTTTTATTCTGAAAATCACCAAAATGTATCAACTAATTAGGAGTGCCCAAACTGTTGCATGTGGTATTAGATACACATAAACTAGCAGGGTCAATCTGAATAGTCTGCGGCTATGCAGCCCCAGTACTCAGCAGGGTGTGATGTGTTGTGGCACATTCCTCCTGTAACTATCTTTTAAAATTTCTGTGACTTGTGCCACAGTAGCCCTTCTCTCTGTTCAGACCACATAGGATATCCCTCACGCATCACTGAGCCTTGGCAACCCAACACCCTATAACACTTGTACACAGTGTTAATCCTTGGTATTCAGAGAGGTCCCATGTTGGCTAGCTGCTCCAGTGTGGCTGACTGCTCGCTCGCCATAGCAAACAACAATTCACGTTTAGCCCTTTTTCTTAAGCTGGCAATGCTACATGAATGAGCAGCATAAAAATGGTTGTAGTCCATGATCTTATCATGTGCAAACAATGCATTTGTAGTATATTTTATGTTTAAAACCCCTAGATTTATGATAGAACTGCTGTCAAAATGTATATAGACAGTGGAACTTTTAAAAGGATTCCTTGAGTTTCCGGTTTAAAAATCTATGCAACAAAACTGGACTAGGACAAAAAAATCTACAGTTTGAACTTTCACATGCATACAAAGTATGCAGTATATGGTAATAGTAATTAATAGAACACTTTAAAGTTAGGTACTTTGATCAAACTTTGTGTGCTACAAATTCTCATTAGGTTGAAGGGCTTGTCCATGCGTCACCATAGCTGGTAGAAGGGGAGAGCATTTGTGGGCTGAGTATGGGTAGGTTAGCAATCTAGTACTTGTGGAGAAAAAAAAGTCCTTCGTAATTCAAGGCTTGAATGGAAATACACCTTACAGTTGATATAGATGATATCTTCATTAAAGAGTTTGAAACGTGCATGAGCAATCTTTTTAGAAAATAGTCTATTGGCCATTTGTCCAAATAACATACAAGAATAACTAATAGTGTGGTTCTGATTCTGGTATATGACCAGCTCTTATGATAGGAGGACAACCAGAGTACTGACACTCACAGAATAAGAAAATGGGCACACAAACAGTAAAGGAGTGTCTGGCCATTGTATTTGGCATCAATATGCCTACGGCCATAATGTGAAAGTACACTCTGACAAACCACTGGAAAGCATTAAGAGGACATCCCAGTTCCTAAGAGGGTACACTGGAAAGAACAAGTCAAGAGACAATAGCAAATATGCATACCATGCTGTACTGACCCATATCAAGAAACAGATATGATTTAATACTAGTCTAGATCAAGGCCTTCATTAGTGATTGTAACATTTGCCAATCAGTATTTTTTAATATTAGTATTACATTACACTTCCTGATGTTCTAATTCATACTACTGATATTCTTGAAAGAGACAATACTTAATTATTAAATACAGGACATTATTTCACAGTCTTGTTACCACTCTGTTATGTTTTACTAATTAATAGACCTAGTATGATTGGCTGAATAATGGACTAATTAATGTATACAGTTAATAACTTGGTAAGTATTGTATAATCAAATACAGAGTATTAGTAATATTTATGAATAATTCTTACACCATACTGACTTTTAGTTTAAGGCATTTGTCACATGAATTTTTTTATACAGTTCATAAAACTGTTTGTAGAGTTCAGTGAAATGTTTACCATGGATTATTGTATCTCACTTTTTAGTAAATTTAACATGTTGATTATTGTTTACTAATTTCAAGCAATATTTTTTTTTTCAGAAATCAGACTTTACAGCTTTCTCCAAGACTTGGGGCTAGAACACCATTACCAAAATAAGCTGTCATTGAGCACAGCGCTGCAAATAGACAAAAGGACAGTTAGAGATGACCCAGGACAGTCCCTATCAGCTTTACCATGGTGCTTCCTGAAGAAGCTGATGATGGTCAATGTGACTGCCAGGAACATAAGTTCCTTATCAGATAAGGTAGCTGCAGATAGTTCAGATTGGGAAGATGATCAGGAGAATGACAAAGATGAGCAGAATCTTTTAGTGAACCCTTCAGACATTGTGAATGCTCTTTTCCTGTGTGCTGATAATTTTCTTCAGCAAGAGATGGTTTCAAAAATGTCTGTGTGCCAGTTCTCTGTTCCTTTACTCCTACCAAACTGTGCAACCAATGAGGTCATCTTCATGCTCTGGGCAATGAGAGATATTGTGAAAAAATACAAACCACACTCATTGGAGGACCCAAATGGATTTGTTGAAGACAGGATAGTTCTCTCTGACATCCCTCTAGTGTCATTTGTACGGCTAGATGACTGTAGCACTTCCAAATCTCAGATTTTGAACAAGTTGCTCAGCAATCCCCAGCAGTATCATGATATCTTTGTACACAAAGACATGGAATGTGGTGACGTTCCAAGAAAAATATCAAACGGTTTGGTGGAGATCAGCTGGTATCTCCCATGCGGGAACAAAAACATTGACATCTTCCCTGAACCTGTGGCTGTGGCTAACTTGAGGGGTGACATCAGTATGTTTGAAACTCAGTACTCTTTCCTGTGTCAGACATCTAACGCAGTTTTTGTCTTTTTTGACAAACTGGACAAACACGAATTTGTGACAAATCAGCCAATTAGAGGACAGCTGTTTTTAATAGGAAATTCTGAGACCAGTGATCTAAAAACAAAAGCCCGACAACTGAACCTAAAAAGAAACAATGTCATTTTCAGGGCCAAACAGAATGAAGATAGCTTTGTCAAAACAATGCGTGCAAAGATGAACACTGTGATTAAGAACAGTCAGAATAATAAGTCACTGGAGAAGGGGACTGAAGTAGCACATGAACTTGGGATCTTGGTTGATGAGGACATCACAGAATGTAAGAATGCAAAGGTCCTTGCAGACAAAATCACTTCAGAAATACGTGCCATACCACAGTTCAAGGAAACCCAACTTCCCCTTCAGGGAGAAATCTGGAAAGAACTGTCAAAGCTGGAGAAAGAAGAGAGCCGGCTTCAGAAAGCAGGAGATCAGAGCATTGAAATGTATAAATCTGATCTCAGTGCAAAAAAGAAAGAGCTCAGGAAGCAGCAATGCAGTTTTAAAACATCAGAGACGATGGCACAATTCATGGAAGCACTTTCAAGACCTCGCCTGGAAAGAGCTTATTTTTTTAAATGGATGAGGATGAACCTGGACAATCTGACCACTAAAAATGTCTCAGCTCTAAAGGAACAATATCAGAAATGCCAAGAGTCTTCAAGAAACAAAGAGGAGATTTCAAAGTTAGACAAAGAAATCTCATGTTGTTCTCTAGGAATTGAGCACTTTCTAAGAGAGCTGGGTCAGGTATATGAATCTGTGGTTTCTTTATCAGAAAAAGAGTCTGAAAAACAAATATCAGATCTTCCGAAGCTGTGTGCAGAGCTGCTGCTTGAAGGATTCCCTTTAGAACTTTTAGATGGAGAGGCATCTAATATACCAATGAGATGGATCAGTGATGTGCTGAAAGAGTTGAATGATTTGTTGCAGCCTAACAATAAAATAATGGCAGTTACAGTTTTAGGAGTTCAGAGCACAGGGAAATCCACACTGCTCAACACCATGTTTGGGGTTCAGTTTGCAGTCAGTAGTGGGAGATGTACTAGAGGAGCTTTCGTGCTGCTTCTCAAAGTCACAGAGGAGTTCAGAAAAGTACTAAACTGTGACTACTTAGTAATTATTGATACTGAGGGGCTAAAATCTCCTGAATTAGCACAACTTGATAATAGCCATGAGCATGACAATGAGTTGGCTACGCTTGTTGTTGGTTTAAGTGATGTTGCAATAATCAACATTGCCATGGAGAACTCCACTGACATGAAGGACATTTTGCAGATTGTAGTACATGCCTTTCTCAGGATGAAGCAAGTAGGTAAGAAGCCAAAGTGTTTGTTTGTGCACCAGAATGTAGGAGATGTATCAGCACATAATAAGAACATCAGAGACCGAACACTTCTGTTGGATCAACTGAATGAAATGACTGAATTAGCAGCTAAAATGGAGAATAATGACCAGATAACAAGATTCACCGATGTTATGGAATATGATGCACATACATCTAACTGGTATATTCCTGGACTCTGGCATGGGAACCCACCAATGGCATCGGTCAGTGCAGGCTACAGTGAAACCATTGCTGAGTTCAAAAAGAGAATGATAGATGATCTTGGGAAATGCAAGACGTCTCGAAATAACATGATGGAGTTTCTTGAGTGGACAAAAAGTTTGTGGAGTTCTGTGAAGTTTGAAAACTTCATTTTCAGTTTCAGGAACAGCATAGTGGCAGACGCATACAGGAAAATATGTGTGGAATTCAACAAGTGGGCCTGGTCATTCAGAAAGAACATGCACACCTGGACATTAACAGCTGAGACAAACATTTCCAATTTTGGGAAATTCTCTGAAATCACTACTGCACATAACTTAAATGAGCTTGTTAGCAATTTGAAAAGTGATGCATTGTCAGAGCTTTCAAAAGAGGAAAGCACCATTCTTAACAACATTGCCAGTTACTACGAACAAACAGAGGGTCACGTAGAGCTTGTGGAGAGATACAAAGAAGACTTCATGAACAGTGGAAAATCTTTGCGTCGAGAGTTGGAAAATACAGTCAACAACAAACTAGACGCTGCTGCAACTGTCCGTAAAGCAGTAACAAAGCTAGAGTACATCAGAAAGACACAAAGAGAGACGATGGAACAGAGAGTCCTGGCGTTGCTTGAAGAGTATAGAAAAAGCAAATTCCACAAGACAGATCAGGATCTAGAGCAGGACTTTGAGAAGATGTGGAATGAAACCATTGAGAAACTGTCTTTTCAGCCACTTCCTAAACGAAGCATCATGGACTGTGTTTTTAAACAACTTAGGATCAACCTGCAACACAAGGGAAGCTCAGTCACTGAGGAACTTGACAAAACTAATCTAATGGACTGTGGAACAGGTTCCTTCAATGTCACAGTAGGGAACAAATTGCAAAAACTTTTACATAGGCACACTGTGCTTGAACTGCAAATGTTGTCTGAGAGAATCGTTGCAAAATCAGAGCAGTTCATAGCAGAAAAGGTCGCAACCAAAACTGATTATGATGACACATACGTCAGGGAGGTTTTGCAGATAGTTGATGAGGGATTAATCTCTTACAAAACTCCTAAACATTGTGAGAAAATTGAAGTCCCATTAAAAAAGCACATATGTGGTATTGCAGGCAAGAAATTTCAGACCATGCATGATAGTTTTATTCAAGAGAATGACCCCTGTAGATGCTTAGAACAGTCCAGAGATATGTACTGCAGTGACTTTAAGGATTTATTCCATGAACGGGATCAATGTCAAAAGAAAGCGAAAGATTTTGCAGATTGTTGTCTTATGCCTGCAGTGGAAGCATATCTTTTCAGTGCCCTTGGTATTGAAATTGTTGATGAAATGACAAAAGGAAAAATTCATTTCAGCACACGCACATTTTTTCAGGAGTTTATTTTGAAAGAATTGCTGGATGAATCAAACTATTTAAATTATCTCAAGTATATAATTACTAATGAATCTTTCATTAAGTCCAAGATTTTGATTGAAATTGTAAAATGCTTCATAATTGAGGACAAACTTGCTGAATTAGAAGAGCAGCTGTTAACAAAGATTGCCAAAGACATAACAAAGTCTATCTCCAAAGCACAGGTGGATAAACAGAAATCCAGCAGCATTAAGGATTTTATTTTTACCATTTGCAAAGACCTGGAAGAGACCCTGGTCATTCCTGTGGATTCAGTTGAGGAGCTTGTGAGTCTAAACAATGCAAAAGTTGAACAGTTTGCTGAATGGCTCACAAAATCAGTTGAGGAAATGAAAATGCTATTGCAACAGAAATGTGAAAAACAGAGTCTGGAAGAGAAAATAGAAAATCTTCAATTCAAGCCAGTAGAGGAGCTTATACAACAGTTGGTAGGTTGTGGAGAACAGTGTCCATTCTGTGGTGTCCCATGTGAAGCAACAGGTACAGGACACACTGAACACTTTGCTACAATTCACAGACCTCAGGGATTAATCTCATATCATTCACATCTGACTACAAAACTTGTGACTGACATATGCACCTCCTCTGTGTTTAGTGAAAAGTTGTTTATTTGTGAGAAGACAGGTAACAAGCCACATCCCTACAAGAGGTATAGTGAGATTTATCCTAACTGGCGCATCCCTCCAGACACCACTGAGGCTTCCAACTACTGGAAATATGTGATGGCCAAATTCAGTGAGGAATTTGCCAGTTACTATAAGACACAACCTGCTGATATTCCTCCTGCCTGGAAACACATCACCAAGGAGCAGGCTGAAAACAGTCTGAAGAAATCTTTTGGAGGAACATAAAAACTGCCTCAGTAGAGCAGGGCATGGTTGACGCCAAGTCCTCCAGCATCCTCGCTGATAGTGCTTTGGAAATAAGCACATAATTTTATATCTTCTGCAAGTTTCAAGCTGAGAGAAACCATCTGCACGAATACATTGCTTATATATTATAACAGAACTGAACCATTACATTACTGAAAAGAACCATTACATAATCTCCATCTTGACAATAACGTCTACAGACTATTAACATCTACTTTTCTATTAACAACTAACTTAGACTTAGGCTAAGATAGTGGACTGTTTGGTTACCTGTTTATTATCAGCTTTCCACAGTTGTGTTGAACTAATGCCACTGGTAAAAAGGGAAGACAATTTTGTAAAATCACAGCAGAAATGTTTGCAGAGAAAGTGGTAACATACACATCAGTATAGTGTTGCAGATAAGAGAGATTTGATAAGTTTGAAGGATGAAAAGAAGAACCATGTACTATTTACCATTAGTATAAATACTAGAACTCACTGAAACATTGTATCTCTCTAATGTGATGTGTGACCCTTTTTTTTCTTGGCAATTAATTGTTGGTGATTTCAAGTGTAATTGAAGTAGAATTCAAAAGAATATAGAATCGAATAAATAACATTTGTCACTGTCTAAATATTGCACTGTATGTAGTTTAATATATATAAAATATTGCTTAGTATATAGTTGAAAGCCATTTGGTCTTTTATGTAATATTTACCTTAATTTTAAGTTTCACTACTGCAGGGGCTTTATGATTTGTGTGTATGTGTGATCTGAAGAAGTTAATAATGAACCCCAACTTCTGCAAAAATGGGTTCATACAAAGTGTAAGCACAAATTAGCATGGACGTAATGTAAGTGAATGAGATCCAATGATATACTAGTGCAGTTTCATGACAAATAGGGAAGGCATTGTGGAGCCTGATGGCAGTTTGTAGGGAAGACTCCAAAATAGCTTGAGGAGGGAGTAGCTAAACATGCTCCTGGACAACACATCATGGAGAGGATGGTCAGAATTGTTAAAAAAAAGAGAATTGAAAAGCTGAAATAATTTGTTCTTTATAGAAAAGCCATAACATATAATTTCAAAGCAAATTAATGATTTCTGTAACCTCTAGTAAAACATCATCAGTGACTCCGCCATCTTCATCAGGTCTGCTAAGTACTAGCCTCTAAAGTGCTGGTAGATCTTGGTCTACAAGGTGGGCTGCAAATATGGTGAGACGGCCAACTGGGTGGAGTCCCTGAGTAGGAATAACTTCAAGTAAGAGAATATATGCATTGTGTGGCCTACTTGGTTTATATTGTTCTTCCTGGACAATATAGCCTGTTAGGCTAATGTAGCTCCGATAAGATTGACCTGAGGTCTAGGACATGGTGTCTTTTCATCACACAGCAGGCACCTCATGCACACACAAAATCATAGGAACAACACAATATAAATATCCACCATATCTCTTCATTGCCTTAGCTTTGGTTAGCATTGCTGTCCTGAGTTCTGTGAGAGTGACAGGCTGTTGTGGTGGAGATGTGTCTTTTTCTACAGGCTCGTATGTGGAACAGCTGCTGGACTGCTGGTATAGCCTACCGAGACTGAGCAGTCTCAGAGCGGGGGCTAACAGTCTGATGCTGCACTGTAACATATTAAAATATTAGCATTGCTGACCATCAAGACAGAAAAACAGAGGACGTTTGTAGCGTGAAAGCTACTGTGAATAATGATTCAGTATAACTGGTTGGACCAGTGTACCCCATTGATGACTATTTGTGGTAGGAAGCTTATCTGAGCTCTGAACTTAGCTTATCAGCTAAGCTTACCAGAAGTGGACATGAGGTGCATACAAAACAACATGAACTTTGAAATTCTTCCTTTCTTTTATTTTGCTCTGTTTTTGTATGCTAAACCACTAGAGGGCAACATTGAAACTATTCATAAAATCAAAACACCTTCTAAAAGACACCCAACCAGCCAAAGTGTTTAACCCTTTAAATGCCCCAGATCTGCCAGCAGATCCAGGCCTTCTTTCCTCTCTCTTTTTTTACTTAGGAATATCTCAGTCAGCTGGGAATAAAAGATGCATAAGACTTTACTATGTCCCCTTCAATATGAAGTTGTTTCAGTGTCCATAATATCAAATTGACATAGGGTATGTTATTATAAATTGTTACCATAAATGGTAAATCTTTACTGCTCTAAAACAAACCTTGGCAATTAAAGGGAAATTCCACCTATTTTTCAAATAATTTCAAATATTTTTCAAATAACTTCCACTTATTAGTGAACTTTGACATGAAAGCGTGCACTTTCTTCACGGTGGTGGTGATAGGAAACAGGTTGATGATTCCTACAATACAAATATAGACATTTTATTTATTCTCCAAATCACCATAAACATTGCATATCTATAAATTAACATCTTCCAGTACTATGCAAATTATTGGGAAGTCTCCATTAAAATATTTACTACGAAGATTGGTATGAAACAGTATTACACTGACACTGTGTCCATATTATAGCCTCACCATATAATACTCCCTGAGATTAAAGCCAGCTAAAGAGATTTGCCCAGAGATCTGTTAATGTTGTAAATTCTATTATATGAAAAAGACTGGGTGTAAATGGCTTATATGGAAGGGTGGTTTCTAAAAAAAACAAAAACAACAACAATAAAAAAAACTATAAAGCATGTTTATCTTTGTTAAAGTGCACTGGAATTAGTCTTTTAAGATTAACAAAAATCCATTGCACCTTGTTTTGGGCTAATAGACTGATTTTTCAATTATTTTGTAAAGTTTAATAAACCTTTATGATTAGCTTCTTTGCATTTACTATGCAGTGATGTGCTTGAGCATACAGTGTTAGGCCACAAGCTGAAAATAACCAGCATCCTTCAGAAGAGGTAACAAGCTGTGGTAACAGTGATGACAGATTTCAGTGTAACAAACAGTTTTCCTTTATTTACACCATTAACTTGGCAAAAATGTAATTGTGCTTTAAACTTAAAATAAGTGAGTATGCTTTTAGTACTAATCAGAGATATACAATATATATATATATATATATATAATATATATATATATATATATATAGTTCACTTATGGTGTAGTTCACAGTAGTTTAAGTACAAAATAAAAAAATAAACTTAGATGTAGTTATGTACTCATATTTTATTACTTTTACACCTAAAGTATACTTAAAAGTATACTTGTATAAACTAAAAAGTGGGCCAATTTAATATTGAAGTACTGAAATAGTCAACTTAAAGTATAAAGTATACTTGGGAAATATACTTGAACTTAAGTTTACTTAATAAAATAAGCTATAAGTATACTTTCTTTTGTAAGGGTTATATGTGGAATACATAGACAGTCTGCAGAGGGTCAAAGAATCATGGGAGTTTAATACTCCGTTTCTGTCCTTCACTTCACTTCACAAGCCCCTTTAAAAAGACCCAAACAGACTCAGATGCTTTACCATATGAATTACAGTAGTAATAGAATGCAGGGTTTCTGTTAAATGTATTTATTTGCTTGCTTGCTCAGCTCAGGGATATGACTATACAGTTCTATGCAAAATTTGGGTGTTTAAAATATGTTTTGCTGATTTACTAAGTCAAAATAATTTAACACATCCTCAACTGAGAACACACTTCTGCAGATTTTAATGCACAATTACTGTTTATTTCCTGGAAATATAGTAAAAAATAAAACATAAATGCAGCCTTTTTTATGTTTTATGTTTTTTTTTTCCTACATGTTAACCTTGGCAAATAAATAGAAACTGTGCACTGAAATTTGCATAAAAAGTGTGAGTTTGGTCCCAGCAGTGGATTTGATAACTTATATTCACTTAGAAAATCAACAAAACATGTCATAGTTTTTGTGTAAAACTGTATGCACAATGTTCTGTGGTTGTACTGACATATTGCATCTATAGATCAGAACAAAAGTGAAAATAATGAAAGAAAGGTCCTGTCTATGATTATGTTCCATTTGAAGTTCTGAGAACCAAATTACTTTCAGCTGCACTAATGCAATACCACGGTCAAACCATTTTATGAACTGACTCACACCACTGATCTCCTATTGGTCAAACACAGTCACTGACATTTGCATACACTATCTCTCTCTCGCCATGTTCCCTCTGACTTACAGCACCAAAAAATACATCTGGATCTGCTTTCAACTATATACATCATCATTCTCATCATCATCATCATCATCATCATCATCATGATAATTACATCATCAGACTGTCTGATGGCTCCTGTGAGGATCCCTCTCTTTACTCTTCTCCTCTTGGCAGGATTACGAGTGTCAGGAGCTACAGTCTCTGACAGCTTTAAAGAATGCAGTCAGTTCCTCTACATGCGCACAGCACCAACTGGCATCCGAGGGGGAAACCTAAAGAAAATTTGCCAGCGATATGGAGACAAACCACGCTATGCCACCCTGTACGACAGTAGTCGACGTCTGGCTCTCTACTCAGCCTACACATTCAAGAAATCAGACGGACAGAGGAGGATGGACACTCCCTGGATGTATGAACCTCAGGTAGAAGAAAGAGTTTGGCTTATTTTATGTGCTTTATTGTGTTGCTTGCAGCCAAATTGTACACACTATATCATGAACTACAAAATACGTGGAGCATAATCATTTCATAAAATAGCCTCTGATAGAAAACTATGTACAAGGCCATGAAAACTAAATACTGTGCATTTAAAAAGAAATCAGCACACTGGTAAAAATGGTCTCCAAAGTCCACTGTCCAGTTCCACAAAGGGCCCATATCCTACATTGTACATTATCTTTTTCTTAGCTTCTCTTTATTCCTTAGTACTAGACAGGCTGTGCCTTTAAGACTGATCTATATATATATAAATGACCTTTGTTCTAGCTGCCCTGTTTTGTGCCTTGTTCAAAAAAGCTGACCCGTGTGAAACATCCCTTAAAACTTAAGTGTGAATGGGTGGAGCTAAACCACTGTAGGCTGAATATGCAGATGCATGTAAATACATTGGTTTTCATGACATCACCAAAAAAAGTTTAAAAAAAGAACTGTTTGTGCAGCTTAGCTGTAATATGTGAACTATGTGGCCTGAAAAGTGAGCTGTACATTTTAAACTATAACACTGTTTACATACAAGATCAAATTCTTTTCATGATATGGGCCCTTTAATAGTGATGAATTTAGTGTGGACTAAAGAATTGTGTAAGGTCAGTGGTCAGTTAGTGAATATACAGTACTGTGCAAAAGATTTAGGCACCTGAGAAAATTATAATAAAAAAGCTGTTTAAAATGTTTTCAGTAGGCATTTATTTAGTCGGAAATACACCGATATAATAAATATAATAATAATTATACAATTAGTAGTGATATTATGTATGATGTGTTTGTTTAACAATTAAAACGTCTCTTTGTGGAAAGCAGGTAATATTTGTAGTTGTCATCTAATACCTGGTTTGGCAAACCATTATTTCATTATGTTAAATCAAGTGTACTGGTGATGGAATTTAATTGTTCCATGTGACACCTGGGGCATCCGGGAGATATCTAGAACCAAACTTTGTTCTATTTTACAAAAATATATGGTGTTTTAACAAGCAAAAACCTACTCATTGGCAAGAAAAATAGCTTTAAATAATGTGTTTAGGTGTCTTAGACTTTTGCACGGAACTGTTCAAGACAAAAAACTTTTAAAGCAATGGCTAAACAAAAAAACTAATTAAACACTTTACCCCTCACCTCAAATGTAGTCAATCAGACAAGACATGTTTGGTGTCTGAAGTTTGCTTCTTTAGTTTTTGCACTGGAGCTACGAGGCTAAGGTAGCTACCAAGTGATAGAAGCTTATAGACACCAGTTAGCACTGAAGTTCCTCTGTAAGAAGACCAAAAAGAAATGAAAACTTATAGCCACACATATACAGTGCTAACTGGTGGCTATAAGTTTCCAATACTTATTAGCTACATTAGCCTCATAGCTTCAGTGCAAAACTGAAGAAGCAAACTTCAGACACCAAACTTGTCTTGGCTGAAAATTGTTTACATTTCATTTTTGACCATTTGTACATTGTCTTTTTTATGGTAAACATTTCTCATTCCCTTCCTTCCAGCTAGCCTCTGAGGAGGAGAGTGGGAACATGCAAACACTGCCCCCTAGTGACAAGACTGACCCATTGATTGAAGAAAGCCAGGCAGTGTTGGAGGACTACGTTGATGCTGTGGAGTATGAACGTGGCCCACTGAACCCAGACCAGCACCAGGCTGACAACCAGGACAAAGCTGCTACCTACACTCTCACCAACATTGTGCCTCAGATCACTGACTTTGTGGAAGGTTCCTGGGCAGCATATACAGACAGAATAAGACGACGACTCAACAACTTCTGTCGAGGTGTTTCGTACGTGGTAACTGGGGTGACCATTTCTGGGTTGACCATTCGTAGAAGTGGGCAGGACCGCATGGCAATCCCTAAGCACCTGTGGTCAGCGTACTGCTGCCCACGGTATGATCGTAACTCACCGTATGAAGTTAGGTATATGTTCCCTTCCTACGCGGCGTATGGACTCAATGAGATAGTGGGCCACAGTGTAGTGGAGGTTTCTCTAAAGACACTGGAGAGCTTTCTGAAGAACCAAACAGGAATGGACGGAAATGTGAGCATATTCCTCAATGGCTGCGTCTCAGAGAACAAATGGAAGAAAAGGAAGAAGAGATAGAAATATTGTATGTGACAGTGTTTAAATGCTTATGTTTCAAAGTTAGAAGAAGCCAGTAGAACATAATGTGCAGCACATATTTATTTTGAGGTATTTTTACCTCAAAAAAGTTTTTCATATATATATATATATATATATATATATATATATATATATATATATGAAACATATATATGATATTTTAATTTGTATTCGGTATCTGTATGTCCTGAAGTACTGTGATAGTGTAAGGTTTCACTCTAAGCTGTAAAATGAGATAAAACTCAGCTGCAAACCAAAGACTTTGAAAGTAGCGATGTTATAAGACTGTTGTAAATGGACTGTAAATAAAGTCAGCTGTGTTGGACTCTGTCTCTCTGTGCAGATCATTTCCATTCTTATCATCACTGCTGAACAATGAAGCCGTGTGTAACGTACTACCACTACTATCTCAGCTCACTTTTTAGCGTGGCAGGTTAATACAACCTGAAACTACACCAGAATCCAAACTACACTTACTGAAGAACGTTTGTCCCCAGTTTTCACTGGTGTAACATTTTGAAACAAAACTGAAATCAGGATGAGACTTACACTGTATTTTTTTTGGTGCAGATGTGAAAATACTGCCTAATAAATCAACCAAAAATGACCACTGATGTTTTTTTGTCTTGTAGTGAATACCTCTGTGCCCAACATTTAAGGAATTAAAAAAAGTGATGCATTTGATTAAAATGTGAAAATCATTTCCACGTGTATAAAATGTAGCACATCAAAACAATTACTGACATTTACATTGACCAACATTGCGATAATGATGTACACAATTACAAAAAAAGGCAAGGTACACAAGTTTATTTATACAGCAAATAAATATATATATATATATATACACACACATAGATACATATTTATGTATTTCACAGCATTGGCCATAAAATACAATTTCCACCTGTTTTACAAGAGGCCCATCAGTTGAACTGTGCTTTTTTAGTTTAGTTTATTCAATCTACAGGGACACATTGATAAACATCTCTGTGAATGTTTTCAACTGCAGGCCCTGGATTTTTATCTTCAATAACATTAGTGTCATATGTTTTAATGGAATTGTGTATACAAATTTGGAAGCAAGCTGGATTTTCATCTTCGGTGAATAAACATTATGAAATGATTTTATTGTGTTCAAATGTTATTTTTTATTGTGGCAGTTGCACATTATTTTTGTATTAAGCAGGCTGCTGTTGTGCGATGTGTTTTATCTTGGCACGGCCATCTTTGTGCAGAGGTGTGAATCCTGTTCACAGCAGACATTTCACACACAGAGAGCCAACAGCATTCAACAAGTAATCTGATAAAAGAGAAAATAGTTTATTTGATTACTTTTTTAAAAACATGAGTCTATTTCCACTAGGCAGCCAGCAGAAAGGGGTCAAGTGTCAAAGGCCTGAGAAAAAAAAGAGTGTTTAGTCTGTACTTAAAGATGACCAAGTGGTGCACAACAGTTTAAACAGAAGTAAAATGTTACAGGAAATCTTGATGGAGTTACGTACAGAGGGAAAGGAATGACAAAGTTACATCTTATTGTAAAGAAGGCATCTGTTACACAGTAAAACATAATAATTTCACTTGATTCATGGGTTTACTTTACTAATTTGTCAAACTTTCTAATACAAATCTAGTAACACATACTATTTCTTGTGTAATCTTTAGTTAGTTAGGCACACTGAGATAAGATCAGTTCATTTGGATGGGCCCTACAGGCTGAAGAGTCTTTTGCCCAAAGCTTCCCAGCATTCTTAGTGGTTTTGTTGGTTTCTCTGCTATTTAACTCTTACTTTTTTATTTTGGATGCATTTTACTCGTTTTTATTATAATGATTGGGCTGTGTGAGTTAATAACCTTACTTACTGCAGAAGTGAGGATGACTGAAAATTAGAAAGTAACTCTAACTCAGATATAAAGGTATTTAAGCTTGAACTTGTTAAGTAACTTAATTATTTAGAGAGCATGATTTTTTTAAGTCAGCTAATATAAGTTTACAGTGTAGCCTCATTTCCATATCTTCTCTCTTTCTCTCTCTGAACTTTCACATGCCACTCCTCTCTCTCTCTCTCTCTACATGTACAGTAGTTTCTGATCATCAGTTGTGAGCAGTAAGTGTGAGCAAAGGTAGAGGAGATGTTTTCTCTTTCTCTGCTCTCCGCTCTGCTCCTTCTATCCTTTCTCGTTCAGGCCAGTGTGGATGAATCTTTCAGGGACTGTTCTCAATTCCTCTACCACCAGAGGCCCCCCCGGGGCGTGCGGCTGGATGGTCTTCACACTATCTGCCAGCACTATGACAGTGAGCCACGCTACGCAACCCTGTATGATCCTGCCCGCCACATACCTCTCTACTCTGCCTACACGTTTAAAGGCTCCGCTGGAGAGAAGATGGACAGCCATCCCTGGATGTATGAACCACAGGTAAAGAATTCCATTCCTCACTCCTTTATCTTATGGCTTAGTAACTCAATGATTTTGCATTGTTTTATATGTAGTTGCTGAATATTAATCATTGGGATGTGAATGTCCATGAAGTTTAAGGGGTTGAGGGCCTGTTTTTGGGTCCAATATTTAATTCTTTACTGTCATAACTACATAACCTACAGATTAGATAGTGCTGAATAGTGCATCTTAAGATTAATGACTGAATAATAGGTCTACAATTTAAGGATTAAAGATGGGCATGCAATTTTCAACCATGGCAAACAGCTTATAAGACTTATTGTTTTATAAGAAAATAAGACTAACAATATTGTACATTCTTAAATGTCACTAATAATAGAAATGTAATAACTAAAAAGACAGAAAAATTAATCAACTTAGAATTCTGCATATATAAACGATATATGGAAACTAATAGTATGAATTTTGATCAGCTGTGAATTTGGAAACGTGCAGTAACCATATGAATTTTAAACTATTGTCAGTTCTGAAATATATAAACTGAAATGTGAATTTTAAACTATGGTGAATTCTGAAATACACTATATGGACAAAAGTATTATTACACATTACACCTACAGGAGCTTTTATGACATCCCATTCCAAATCCATAGGCATTAATATATAATAATAGAGTTGGTCTTTTTGCAGCTATAACAGCTTCCACTCTTCTGGGAAGCTTTCTACAAGATTTTGTAGTGTGTCTGTGGGAATTTTCGCCCATTCATCCAGAAGAGCATTTGTGAGGTCAGACACTGATGTTGGATGAGAGGGCCTGGCTCGCAATCTCTGTTCTAGTTCATCGGAAAAGGGGGTGGATGGGGTTGAGGTCAGGGCTCTGTGAGGGCCGGTCAAACTCACCCAACCATGCCTTTATGGAGCTTGCTTTGTGCACTGGGGCTCAGTCATGCCGGAACAGAAAAGGGTCTTCCCCAAACTGTCCCTACAAAGTTGGAATCATACAATTGTCCAAAATGTCTTGGTCTGCTGAAGCATTAAGATTCCCCTTCACTGGGACTAAGGGTCTTAGGCCAATCCCTGAAAAACAACCCCACAGCATTATCCCTCCTCGACCAAACTTTACAGATGGCACAGTGCAGTCAGGCGAGTAATGTCGTCCTGGCATTCACCAAACCCCCGACTCATCCGTCAGACTGACAGACAGAGAAGCGTGATTCGTCACTCCACAGAATACATTTCCACTGCTCCAGAGTCCAGTGGCGGTGTGCTTTACACACACACACACACACACACACACACACACATACCCAAGTTTTCACAAACTGACTTGTGGGAGAGGAGACATCCTACAACAGTGTCATGTTTAAAATCACTGAGCTCGTCAGTACGACCCATTCTACTGTCAGTGTTTGTCTATTTGGGAATGCAAGATTATGTGCTTAATTTTATCCACCTGTTAGCAATGGGAGTGGCTGAAACACCTCAACTCAATAATTAGGAGGTGTGTCCCAATACTTTTGTCTATATAGCATATCTTAACTAAAAATATTAATTTTAATAACTGTTTATTCTAAAAAAAGTGAATAAAAATCAGGTCTGAATTAACAGTATTCATTTCAACACAGCCTTTCAAATATAGCAAGCAGTTTACTACATATACATTTTGAGAGGTTGTTATATCTTTTTATGACTAATATCTCTCTTTTTTTCTCTCTTGATCTCTCTCTCTCACTCTCAATCTTTCTCTCTCTCTCTCTCTCTCTCTCTCTCTCTTTCTCTCTCTCTCAGCTCTTCAGCACATCAGAAACAGGAAACATGCAGCCTTTTCCTCAAACTGGAGCTGACCAGCATTTGGAGCAGACTCAGGCCGTATTAGCTGACTACACTGATGCTTTAGGTTATGAGCGTGGTCAGCTGACCCCAGACCAGCACCAGTCCAGCCCAGGGGACAAGGCTGCCACCTACACCCTGACCAATGTGGTGCCCATGACCAGAGAGTTTCTCCGAAACCACTGGGAGCCACACCTGGACACCATCCGCCAGCGCCTCAACAACTACTGCCATGGCACGGCCTACATAGTGACCGGCATCACCACCGCTGGACATGCCATACGAAGGGGCAACATCAACCGAGTGACCATTCCCAAACACATTTGGTCTGCTTATTGCTGCCCTGACTTTGATCCTGGAGTGCCATACGATATTCGCTATAAGTTTCCTTCTTATGCTGTGTATGGCCTAAATGATGTTCTAGATAACTATGTTAATGAGGTTTCACCAAAAAGGCTGGAAGCACTGGTGAAGAGGGAGATGCCAGTGGATCAAGACTTTCAGCTCTTTCATAGCAACTGTATATCAGCCATGTAAATATGCAGATTATAAAAACATGTATGCATTTCTTTTGTTCCTTGCTTTAATAATAGTTAAATTAAATGCTATAAATTAAATGCCTGGTTATAGAACTTGTAAAATTGTTCAATTTGTTTGAAATGTACTACATAGATAATTTTACTCAGCTATTTTACTCTGTTGCTAAAATATGTGCATTTGGTGGTTTGATGTACCGTTGTGTAGACTGTTAGCATTGAACATCTTGAATGACTCCAAAAATAAAGATTTGTGAATTAGTCTCTGAGCTCTCTAGTAACAGTGACAATTACATATTGACTTATCCTTACTGTCAGTATCAAACTGACTCAGCGACAGAAATGATTGCAAAAGTCACTCACTCTATCTGTGTGTGTGTGTGTGTGTGTGTGTGTGTGGTGTCCAGGGTGCTGAGGTGGGGGGTGGGGGGTTCTTAGTATGATAACACTGAGTGAAGCGATGTGTATGTTTATATGTATGTTTGGTTTTGAAAGAAGAACAGCCAGCATTAAGTTAAAAAGTATATACACTGGTAGAAATTAGGCCCTGCCTTTATTAGCAGCTCATATTTTTAATTACAATATATCGTTCCTCTGAGATGGACTGGCAACCTGTCCAGGGTGTTTCCTGCCTCCCGCCCAATAACCGCTGGGATAGGCTCCAGCAACCCCCCATGACCCATGAGGATAAGTGGCTTAGATAATGTGTGTGTGTGTGCGTTTTGCTCCTGTTATCTGCAAGTTATCTGCAAAGTGTAATGTCTATAATTTTAGCAGTTCAACATCTTTGTATATTTTTCTAACTTTTATTGCCATTCTTTTCGTTTCTATTTAGCATTAGCTGGCTAATAATTCATTTGTTTACAGAAATGTTAGCTTCGGGACACACATGGTTGTTGTCATAGCTCAGGAAAGCTTGAGTCAGGTGGGAGGGGGGGTGTCACCTCAGCTGTTACAACTCTCTTTTAAATGAGTTTCAGAATGCTTTACATTATGTAACTTAAGTACAATTTAGTTTCATATAGGTTTCACCATGTAAATCCAGTCCAACATTAACCTAAATGTTAATAGTAAACTAATCATTTAAGATTTTAAATTATAAAAATTTATTGTATCATGCTGTAGGTTTTGAAGAATCCATAAATGATGATACTGTAAATGGTTTTAATGGATGAGATGCATTATAAATATATAAGGGAGGTAAACAGATGTCAGGGCTGCCTCTGTAGTGTTGAGGGACGCTCACAGATCAAGTGAGCCTCAAGTATATTGTTAAGAAATTGGATCATTCTATCAGTCATGGGTGAACAATGTCTGCACTTATAAATATTTTAGTGGACCCTGTCGCCACGGGCCTTTCTCAGTGCAGTGGGACCTCCCCCCACCCCCACCCCCAAGTAGTTATGCCAATACTAAATACTAAATAAAAATAAGACTGAGATGAATAAATTTAAAGCGGAGTAGACCCATGTCTGCAGACTGTAGAAACCAAGCAGCTGAAATTCACCATTTCATATATCAGCTCTGCATATTTGCATGTCAAACTATTCTTTCATTAATTCATTCATACTTGTTCATGAAGTGGTCAAACATCATAGTCTGTCTTTTCCATACCTTGAGAAAGCAGTGATGAGTGGATCAGCTGGGACCAAAGGTCCCCTTCTGGTTTGCATACTGGAGTAGATTACAGCAGAGTGAAGCTGTTGTATGAACGTGCCTTTATTCGTTCATAGTGGGATAGTATCTAGAGTAAGAGTGTGCGAGTACAGACAGCATACTGGCTGAAAGAGAGTCAGAATAAGACTACATCTAAGAACTTAGAGCTTTTTAAGAACTGCAATCTTGGTCACTCAATTTTAGTTCACCATTTTGTCTTTTTTGGTAGTTGTACATCATGATAAAGTTCTGGCCTCGTATTTTTTCTGTAACTGCTATTGTATTGCTTCTAGCGGGGCTGCCAGTGAAAGCTACGGTGGAGCAGACTCTTTCCCCAGAATGCCGTGAGTTCCTGTACATGGGCACAGCACCGGTGGGGCTGGAGGACCACTCACTGCTTAAAATCTGCCAGCGCTACAACAGCAAACCTCGCTATGTCACCCTATACAACACCAAGGACCATGTGCCAGTCTACTCAGCCTACACCTTCAAACGCTCTGATGGAGAGAAGAAGGTAGACGTTCCCTGGATGTATGAGCCTCAGGTGAGTGAGATGTTTTATTCATGGCATTTTTAAAATAGTCTTGCTTGTTCTTCTCACTAACGTAGTGCTATCTTCACTCAGTCTGCAATGAGACAGCATTGTCTCAGCAGTCTAGTCAATTGCTCTCTTATAGTGAGAGCTTGAAACATAAGAGCAAAATGTTAAAATGTCATAATTCATGAAAATATCTCTGAATACTAAGATCAAAGAGAGTTTTATACATTGAGATTTGTAATTTCTGGCAGTTCTGGCTGCTACAGTGCTTAATTATATGCAAAGTTTAACAGTACTATACAACAGAGCTATATACAATGTGCATAATTACACTACCTGCAATATACTCATAAAAAAGGGTTCTTTGGAGCAATGCCACAGAAGAACCACTTTGAGTTTCCTATAGAACCTTTTAGCGGAAGCATTTTTGTAATGGAGATAAGCAAGTCTGAAAAACCTTTCCAAAAAGAGTAAAGAACTTCCACATAAAATAGCTTTTATTTTCATATGTGCAGAAGTAAGCTGGAACTGATGACAGCTTCTCAAAGACAAAACATTCCATGTCTCTTTCATTCTGTCTTGATGAGCAGCTATCCACATCCTCAGACACGGGGGAGATGCAGCAGTTCCCGCGTGGCTATATGCACCAGAACTTTGAGGATGCTCAGGCTGTGCTGGAGGACTACACCAATGCTGTTCTTTACGAGCGTGGACACCTGAACCCTGATGAGCACCAGGCCAACCCAGACGACAAAGCAGCCACCTACACACTGACCAATGTGGTCCCGCAGGTCCGTGAGTTCCACAGAGGCCCGTGGAAGGCCCAGGAGCACATCATCCGCCGCAGACTCAACAACTACTGCAGGGGCACGGCCTACATGGTCACCGGCATCACCACCTCTGGCAACATGATCCGCAGGCATAACATCGACCGGGTGGCCGTCCCCACCTACCTGTGGTCAGCTTACTGTTGCATTGACTATGATCACAATGCACCATATGACGAACGCTACAAATTCCCTGCCTTCGCCCACTACGGACTTAATGACAAGGAAAACAATCAGATCTTGGAGCTGTCTGTCCCCAAGCTGGAAGAGTTCCTAAAGAAGTCCACTTTCGTTGACAAGAACTTCCAAATATTTGTGGATGACTGTGTGCCGCCTGGATCGGCCTAGCTCTGTCTAGTCATGCTCTATAAATTACTTCTCCATATAAATTACTTACATTACTTCATGACAACAGACAATATTTAACTAGTCAATTGCAAATATAAATGGATTTAATGGAAAATTGATTTATAATGAATGGTGTCCCATATGAAGTTTTCCCAAAGCAAATATGTAAATGTATGTTTTGGTGCAAAAAAACTGCTTCTGCTGGAGCACTTGTGCTAAAACTGTACTGTTTAAATCATCAATTAAAATTTCACAATCTGTCATCCTTATTCATCCTTATTATACACATCCTCATGTTCACATGCATACATTAAAAAAAATAATTTAGCAATGCATTATCACTAGCCATCACTAGCTATTGGTTTAAAACATACAAAATATGGATAACGGAGTAGTCATAGTATAACTGTAAATTTAGAGCCATACTTGGTCTTAGGTGGTAACATTAGTTGTATTACATCAATCAAGATAAAAGCCTTCATTCAAAAGAACAAGAACATGATTATTATTAGAACACTTCTTATAAGATGTGAATTATTATGTCTCATAACAAGAATGTATGACTGCATAGAATGCAAACTACATTAGTCGTTTAAACTTGAATAGCCTGCTCAGGTCCAGGCTGACATTCCTCACTCCTATAACTTAAGAATAACTTTTTCCTTGAAGTTACTGAATAATAAGCCTTAGAACGTAATAGGTCTGGTAAGGTATACTTTCAAGTTTTACTATTGCTTCTGGTTCAGTTACACTCATACTATACAGTGAGGATTAGAGAATCAGTGTTGTTCCAATGTACACAGAAACAAGCCTAAATGTTGTTTGCCTTTTCTGTTGGGTCAAACATTCTTTATAAATATGTTGGGTTTGGAAAACCATGAAAATCATAATATGTATAGTAGTAAAAGTGATAGAGAAGAAATTCAAGGTTGCATATAGAATGACCACAAGATAATGGGCACTAAATGCATAACATCATGGTGAATGTCTCTAAGAAGACTTAAGAACACTCAGCGGTAAGTCTATCGGCACAGTAGCCATGGTGATATTCTCTTAGCCAAGCGATTAAACTGCTCAAATTTCAGTTTGCTTATGATTTACATACACACCTGCAAATGACTCCTGCCTTCAAAGTACAGCTCTGATAACATTCGAAATAAGCCAATGGTTGTCTGTTCCCTCTACCTCTGAGGAGTACACTCTTAATGAGTATAGACTGCCTACAGAGATAGTGAGAGGACGAGTGACAGTAGATTTTACATATGCTTCTGTCATTTTACCCGTAGCTCTGGAGCAGGGACACGAGGGACCTAGGTTGAAAATATCTGAAGACATTTGAGAATAAATAGAAAAGAGCTGGAACTGAGCTACTTATCATGAGGTGCAATCTCTCACACTGTGTCTTGTGCACAGTTTTAGTCATCCAGCTGTTTCTTCTGACTGTGCACGTAAATGCTGGGGTTGTGGATGACTTCAACCATATTGAGCGCTGTAAGGATTCTCTCTACATGGGCACTCCGCCTCGAGGCTACCTTAGCAACTCTCTTAAGAAGATATGTCAGCGATATGAAGACAAACCCCGCTTCGTCTCCCTGTACGACCCCCAGAAACACATCCCTGTGTACTCTGCCTATACTTTTAAGAAGTCTGACGGGGAGAAGAGAGTGGACTTTCCTTGGATGTTTGAACCACAGGTAAGTGAGCCTGTCTCTGCTGTGCATAAATCAGTATGATCAGGAAATTCAAGTTGAAATAAAAAATCTGAAAAAAAAACCCAAAAACTTTCATGCCTACTTGTTCTCTGTGGTGCTATTCACTTTATTTAATTACATAGTTAAACATATACTTCCATATATTTAATATGCATTCCTTATATTTTAATGTAGAGTTCAATGCGAAGGAATATCCCTGGTCAACTATGATGTTTTGTTAATTTTCTAAGTAAAAATAAGTACCAGTGATGTTAAGTATTCTTAAACACTGCATTTTTCTGCAAATTGTAGTGCACAATTTCTATTTATTTGACACACTGAAAATTATGAAATGTGCCATAACTTTAACAGAGGGAACACTTTTTGTTTTATTTTTCCCAATATGTTAAATCGAGCAAATAAACAGTGTTAAATGTATTAAAATGTGCAGAAGTGTGTTGTCTGTAGAGGATGTGTTTACTTGTCTTTACTTGGAAAATCAACAAAACATCTTATTTGACCGGGGTGCCCAAACTTTTCCACAAATCCATATTTTTAGGACTATATGATCATCCAGTCATCCTTTTTTATGTTTTAAGGATCTTTCTGACAATCATTTTTTACCAGGTTTTTGCTCTATTTTCATACCCAATTAAGCTTTTGATATAATTACTATTCATTTAATCTTTTTCCATTTCATCATGTTTACAATATCATATATATTATATATAATATATAATATTGTTCAGTTTTTTCAGTGCTTTTGTTCATGTTTGTGGGGGAATTCAATCCTTATTTTTTTATAATTCATTTTAATAAATTAATCACATTGAACTTTCCATTTATCTAACATTTATTCCATATCCATACATTCCATATATTTCCATGGATCCATTTTCTTTAGTGGATATCATCCAGTCTTCCTTTTATTTATGTTTTGAGGTCATTTAATCTCTCTGACACTCATTTTTACCATCTGTTTCTCTGCGTGCAGTTGGCTTCTGACAAGGGCAGCAGTAATATGGAGCCCTTCCCCCAGTCCTCCCACATGCATAAGAACTTTGAGGACACGCAGGCCGTGCTGGAGGACTATGCTGACGTGGTACAGTACGAACGTGGCCAACTGAACCCAGACCAGCACCAGGCCGACCCGATGGACAAAGCTGCCACTTACACCCTCACTAACGTGGTGCCTCAGATTAAGGAGTTCAGTGTTGGGCCTTGGGCCGCACACGAGCAGCTCATCCGCAAACGCCTCAACAACTACTGCCGCGGAACGGCCTACATCATTACAGGGATCACGACCTCTGGCAACATGATCCGCCGTGATAACTTGGACCGTGTGGCCATTCCTGAATATATGTGGACTGCTTATTGCTGCACCGACTTTGATCATAACGCACCTTATTCAGTGCGCTACAAGTTCCCAGTGTTCAGTGCATATGGACTTAATGACCATGTCAATAACAACATGGTGGAGGTTCCCATTAAGAATTTGGAAAAGTTTCTGAGGGGTAGAATGGATGTGGACAAGAACTTCCAGATCTTCTATAATGACTGTGTGGCTGACTAATAAGGTGTTATCAAATGATATAATCTGCCACTGCATTGCATTTGCCATTATATAATCAGAGGCTGTGATCCTAATACTAATGAGTGTATTTTTGGTGGCATATATTTGAAGTGTCTCATTACGAATTGCTGTATGTCCATTCATAACCATTTCAGATATAATGAAGTTGAAAAGAAAAACAGCTGATGTTTAACGTAAAAAACGTATTAATCATGATATAGCATTGATACGTCTTGTGTAAAGCCACTCTCAACAACATATAGAGTGAAAAAATACATAATTAAAGCCATATCTCATTTTATAACTGCTTTTACAAGTTCAATAATAAATAATAAATATGTTATTTTGATTAGTGCAAATGTCATAGGTTATATAGGTTGAATGGAGTCAATGTTATATTATTTTATATATTTTATGTCCAACTTTGGAAAATTAACTTTGGCAGCCTGTGCAAAATTATAGTTACAAGATCATTTTTTCTTCACTTTAAGTATTTCTTTCAACATGTTTTCAAGCTTTGGCAGCTTGCTCAAATGAGACGTCTTAAAAAATTCAAACCCAATATAACAATAAAGTTCCACTAACGTCTTAATCTTTGCCTTTGATCACTAGCTGCATTTGCATGTTTGCCTGTAAAACTGTACCACGTGATATGAATGAAAAGTATCAGCTTTTCTCCTTCTGTTATCATTAACTGTTTCTCCCCTTGAAGATGCGACAAAGCTGTGTGTCTAAGCAGAACACTATTAATACAAATGTAGGCCTTGTTTTAAATGTCCTGTTGTGCTGTGGAATTTTCACTGTTAATGTGGTTAGTCAATAAACCAATTGATTACTTAAGCTTCAGTGTCAATGATTTAGTCTCCTCACAATAAATGTGCTAATGCTGCAATTGCACAGTGTTAATATGAATGTGGTGAGTGAAAGTGAACTGTATTGACCAGAAGAGGGCACAAGAGCCTCAACTTGCAGTTACAATCAGAAATCCCTGAAAAAGCACTGCAGTATAGCTCAAACTGTTGTCCTACAGTCTGTTTAAAACTATTTCCAGTAGTGTTTAGGTAGAGGTGAGTAGGAACCAGCCCATGAGTTTTATGAACTCAACAACAAATTTGATAGATTTTTTCTTTACTATTCTCAAATGATGATTAGATTCTACTCTAGTATATTTGTGAGAAAAAGAGGGACGTAGTTAGAAAAACAAATTAACCAAAAGCTCGACTAAACCGGTAAGTTTTTAGCCTAGACTTAAAGATGGAGGCTGTGTCTGAGTCCCGAACACAGACTGGTAGGCTATTCCAAAGCTGGGGGGCTTTGCATGAAAAGGCTCTTCCCCCTGACGTAACTTTATTTATTCTGGGTACTAATAATGAGCCCGCACCTTGTGATCTAAGTGGGCGTGTCGGTTGATAATAGGAAATAAGGTCACTGAGGTACTGAGGAGCAGGCCATTCAAAGCTTTATATGTCAGTAGAAGAATTTTGTACTCAATGCAGAATTTAACTGGCAACCAATGTAAGGTACACAAAATTGGGCTAATGTGGTCGAATTTCCTCGTTTTGCTGAGAACTCTGGCTGCAGCGTTCTGGACTAACTGAAGCTTGTTAAGGTAATGTGTTGTATGGTTCCATATAGTACCGAAAAAGATTCTTCTATTGTTACAAGCTTGAACAATCGGAACAACAGCAGAACCCTTTTTGGTATTATATAGAACAATTTTCAAAAAGGATCTATATAGAACCATATATAACGTAATCCACCAATCGGAAGAGCCACTCCACCATGCAAAGAACCATTTAAGCATGAAATGATTCTACACAGAACCACTGCCTTTACTAAAGAACCTTTAAAGAAGCACCTTTTATAGGTGTAGAGCTTCCTCAGTACTTTAGAAGATTTTTGACCTGTATTTTTATTTCACCAAGTAACAATACTTCCACTTGAGTGCAGATTAAGGCCACTCCACCTCTGCTTTTAGACAAACTCACACAAGGCACCCTTTAGCCGACATTGGTTATTTATGCTGAAACCAATTAGAGATTAAGAACAGAACTGTATCACATTAATTATCAAAATTACATTTTTGTTTGTGGCAAACAAAGATTATAGAAGGAGCACTGATCTAGAGAGCTCACTCGCTTCCACGCCACCCAGCCCTGCCTCTGCAAAGACTCTTTATCCAGCGCAGGGCCATAGTAGTGGGGGTCCATTATTAACAGGTAGCTCCCCTGTTTCCCAGTGCACACTCCCAGAATGCCTTTAGAGGAGTTGTCCCTGTCCCCACCCATCATTACAGGAGACCCACGGGTGAGGAAATGATGGTGAAGTTCCTCTGCGGCCTGCTCAAGCTCTGACCCACCACTCCGCACATGTGAGATACGGCAAGGAACATCATAAAGTTGGTCGAGCACCAGAGCAGCTTCATAGGTTCCTATCCATTCTCTGGAGCCCAAGAGGGAAGATGGTTTATCTCCTACTGTGACCAGAGCTTGCTGGATTTCTGCTAGACTTGGGGGAGGTCTGGTTCCAGACTGAGATCCACTGAACAACCATGAGCATATGGTCTGAACAGTCCTGTATCCACAACCCCAACCTCTGTCATCCTGCCCATCACAGCCATAATGGTAGTAGAGACATTCTCCTGATATCAGAGAACATCTGTCACAGTCTGCCAGCGGCTTGGACAGTCCATCGTGGGCATTTTTCACTAAAGTATCTTTCAAATTGCTTCCGATGGTCACTTTATCTTGTCCACATAATCGCTCTCCCCAGTCTATGAGCTCACCTGTCACTTTGCCTGTCTTCTCCATGAACTGGCTGCGTATAAAGAACGATTCAAAACGTCACTCTAGCTTTTACATGCACATCTATGATGAAATTAATATATTCTCTCTTACATACATTTCAGCATACATGAAAAATGTGCACAGTTTTCTTTTATTTTCGTGAACAAACAGAGAATTTGTACCCTTACAGCGCCTCTGGGACTACGTGTCCGTCAACAAAAGCCGTCCCTAGAGTTCAACAGCGCCTACTTAAGAGTTCCGCATTCAAGACGTTGACTGGTTGGGAAGCTTCTTACTTAGTTTATGTCCACTTCGAGCTTTATCTTAGACACATAATATATAGTAAATACCCTAAAATGATACAAGTACTTTTCTTAATCAGTTTGTGTGCTCTTGTAGCCTGTGGGCCCCGACCTGTATACGAAAGTCCGAATACCAACTCTTCTGCCTCTTCTGGAAAGTTCGAGAAGACGCCAGAGGAAGAGTCTTCACTCAATAAAAGTGACTATGATAGTCCACACGACGAGTCTGACAAAATATTCCCCGGATATTCGTTCTCAAAAGTTAAAAATGCCTCAGAGAATGGGGGTCTAATTGTGAAGTGTGGAGAGAAAAACTGGAGGATAGTGGTGAAGAGAAAGTACTTCGGACGCGGCCTTCCTTTCTCACCGCGGGCTGTTCGGCTCGGTGAGGATGGCGGCGCTGCCATTGAGTGCAAGCCTCAGACAGACTTTCTCACCGCCTCTCACATGATCATTTCTGCAGGTTTACAAGACTGTGGTAGCGAGTCTTGGGTAAGAAATGACAAACAACCAGCACGAGCTGGGTTATTCCACGATTGGAGTGCCGTTAGCCCTCACTTGTTTATTTCTTTGTTTGTTTCTTAGCTACTTAGTCTAAGAAACGTCCATTTAACCATGTTTTTTTTACAAGGTCTGTTTGCTGACAATGGCTTAAATGAGTGACAGTTGATAGTTTTTAGCATAAAATTAGAAAAAAAAACACAATGTGGTTAACTAACGTTAGCATTCATGCTAAGGGAATGAGGGCATTGAGGACATTTTTATTTTTTATTGTATTGTGGTGACTGGGGCAGGCAGAAATACTGTTTTCTAAGTGCTGTAGGATTTAAGTTATTTATCTAAAACATGCACATAGGTTGTTGTGAAGGATATGTGCCTGTGTTTAAAATGTGTTTTATCTCTATGTACATATTTGTAAATGTACAGTCACAATATATTGCACCCCAAACATGGAATCATGGAGCTGCTGAAATAATTGGTGTTTGTTTTTAGAAGTTATTCAAAATGGAAAAGTAACATGAAAAGTTCTTGTGCTATGTAAATGTGCACTATGTAAGTTTTGCTGATTTGGAGACCTCTCTGGTGGAAATGTGTAATTCCACGCAACATGCAGCAGACTATTTTGTAATGTTAGTTGTGCTGGACCCCTTTCCAGAGCAGATCAGTATGATTACTGTGAATGTGTTAAAGTTTTAAAAGAAAACCCAATCAAAACTTTGTGACCGTGTCTTCCGAGAATGTGAGTTATGTACAATTGTCATCATCTCTTTATCAGTACAATATTGCTTTTGCATTTGATTTGTAAACATCAAGCTGGACCTTCTTTTTCAGCCTGTGCGTGTGATGTCATGTAAAGATGTGTGATATGGTCAGAAAAACTCCCACACAAAAACAGCCTGATGGCTCTGACTGTACTATGTCAGGAAAAACTACTTGTGTACCAAGTTTCCTCTAGAGCTGTAGTGGAGCTCGAAGTACTGCTTGGTGAGAAGTAAAATGATAAAACTGAGAAGTCAGTGGTGTGAGCAGTTGTAAAGCTGTATTTTTTTCCTGTAATTTTTAGGTAAATGGTGACTGGCTCATCTACTCCAATAAGTTGGTGTTTTCTTCTGGTCCTTTTCTCACCTTGGATGGCATCCTGATTTTCAGACGCACTCCTACTGTGGTTCCCATTGAGTGCCATTATAAAAGGTTGGCTGTGTTTTCGGTGTACGATAACCATGTTCTCTTCCCACTGTCCTGACAGAAATTCTGCTTGTTTTTTTATCTTTTTGTATCTCCCACAGAAGGTTTAGAGTGAGTGCGGAACCACTCAGCCCTACCTGGTTACCTATGACCTCCACTATAGAAGCAGCTGGATTGCTGCACTTCTCTTTACGTGTTGTTAAAGGTGATCTACCAGTTGAATCTCACTGTTTACTTACTTACTTATTTTGTTCTGACTTATCTCCAATTTTTGCCCATTCATAAATGAGGATTATTGGCATTTTCATCCAGTTCCACAATTTGCACAATTTACATATGGCAGAAGCCATTCATAATGCCACACAATCTCTCAAAAAATAATGCCTGAACCACTCTGGTAAAATTCCTGGTAAGACGCCAATGTGGATTAAATGATGTTTTCTGTAATGTTTCCATGTTTGGTCACACATGCAACAAATAGTACACACAGCTGATTAACCAGTGTGGTTAAAAGACACGTCTTGATCTGTTTGGACTGAACGTCATGACCTGCCTTTTAACTGCTGTTGTAAGAGTACAGAAGAGAGAAAGACTTGCTCAAGCAAGAATTTAATTATGGCAGATTTAACTGGCACTGTACTTAAAACAGCTTCTTCTTCCTGTGCCAGATTCAGTGTTTGGCGAATTCCCATGCTGTGTGTGGAAAGTATGTTTAGCTTGCATTCCAAATATGTGAAGAATAATTTGACCTGTTGAGATTCTAATTACATATTACTGCAATTATAATGAATTGAAAAATGACTTGAATTATTATTATTTAACTTTAATTTTTTATTTATAATAGTTTATAATTATTATTATTTAATTATTTAAATATCTTGTGTGCAAAAGTAAAATTCCTACAGTTAGAAGTTAGGGTTCCTGCGCAGTATGGAAAAGTGTGGAATTTGATTTTAATAAATTCCAGGTCTGGATAAGTATGGAAAAAAGAAAAGAAAGTATGGGAAAATATTTTTGTTTTCTAATATGTAAAATTCATAATTTGTAAAAATTGATCGTACAAGCAGGGTATTCTTCAGGGTATTTGGAGCAGGCAGACAGCACAGCCAAAATGTTTACCATGTACCACTGTGTGAGAGAGCAAGGGTCAGAGCGAGCTTGATGTTGTCGAAAGTAAAGCAAGTATGATGTGCGACTAAACATACAGAGCTGCCTCTACTTCTGTATGTCACAGCTTGCAAAAGTTCTGCCTCAAGTGCCTTATAACTGTAGCAAATCCGAACGTCCATGAACAAATTAGATTGAAAGAAAATGTGGGAACGACAAGAAAATGTCTTTTAATTGCATCTATACATAGCAACACAAATAACCAAATATTACGCTTGTCTGGACATTTAAGAGTTATGCAGTGATACAGTTGTCAGAAAAGTAAACAGACTGTCTTTTCGTGTTCATTGTCATTTCCATGGACACAGTAAATAAACACGGCCACCATGAAAACTATTAAACTTTTTTCAGTTTTTTTTCTGGCTCTTATCTGTAATAGAGAAAAAAAGGGGGGACAATAATATGTGTATATATATACTTCTTTGGAAAGAGATGTTTGACAGTGGAATGTTGTCCGGCTTTCTGCATAGGAATCTGGACTGAACGGCCACTATGAGTAAATGCAAGTTTTCCGAGGGCTGGAAAAGTTCCGAAAGATCTATTTAGGAATCTGTAATTTTAAGTTTGATTTTGATTTTGAAACATATAAATGTCATTTTTTTTTTATAGAACAAACTTTTAATCAAGAAACAAAGTATCAGAAAAAGTTAAAAGCATCTTTACCAAAAAAAAAAATGTCAGCACTGTTTTCCCTTAAAATTTATAGCTTTGTTTCTCAGTATTTTTTTTTTTTGTTTGTTTTTGTTTTTTTATCTGTTTTGGCAGCCACTTGGAGTGTGGGTCTTTAACATGTATGACCTCGTTTACGTGTCAAATTTCAGTTGGCTCTTGCTTGGGACACTGGAGAAAATACTGCAGAGTTAAAAGATACCATCGCTCTAATCACCACCACAGTGATTTCTGAATAGCTCATTTTTACTGTGGTGCATATTTTGCGTGGCATAGCATTGTTAACACCATGTTTTATGAATCTGGCTCAAAGTGTCTGTATTGACATGAGGAAAGAGAGATTTGCACACAAATGATTGTAGTTGATTTTTGTCTCACCTCAGATGGCAGTGGCTCCACTCGTCAGTCCACTCATTTCCAGCAGGGAGAGCCATTGCTCCTGGAAGCAGCAGTATATGCCCCATTGCACCCTCCTTTACGAATCTTCGTGGACAGCTGTGTGGCCACTGCTAATTCTGACCCGTTCTCAAAGCCCAGCTATGAGTTTATATCCAACCATGGGTTAGTGGTAAAGTCCTTTGAATGTTTAAAAGTGAAACTTTCTCAGACCTGTTCTTTTAGATCAGACTGCCACTGAACTCGGAGAAAATGCTTTATTTGCTCCCAGGTGTCTGGTTGATAGCATGCTGCCAAACTCGTCTTCTAAATATTACAACAGGCCAGAGGAGAACGTCCTCAGGTTCAGCATTCCGGCTTTCAGCTTCCCCCAGGATCAGAGAAAACAGGTTAAATTCTGGTTACTATTATAGAGTGTGTAATGAGCTTGTCTCTAAGTTGTTCTAAGGATGCTGTATGGCAATGCCATCTCCTATCCTGTTTACTTTTGACTGCCTAGAAATAGAGCAGCGGCTGCCCAGTTGCATCTACAGATGGTTATTAAAAGTTTTTTAAAATGATTTTCAGTGGCACATTACCTTGCATTCTTTCATTCTTTGTGCCATCTTTACACCTCTTAGGTTTTCATTAGCTGCCATTTGAGAGCTACTCTTCACCACAGTCCATCTGACTCCCAAAATAAGGCTTGCTATTTTCATGGACCTTCATTCAGGTCAGTTATTTGATGTTTATTTTAAGATTTGCAGGTTCTACAATGGCAAGAAAAAGTATGTGAACCTTGAAAGTGCTTGTATTTATGTATTAAGTTGTCTTAAAATATTGTTTGATCTTCATCTAATTTACAAATCAAGAACAAACACAATCTGTGTAAAATAATGACACAAAAATAATAATGTTTTTGTCCATATTAAATATGTCATTCACAGCACAGGTTGGAAAGAGTATGTGAATCCCTAGGCTAGTGACTTCAACACAAGCAAATTGAAGCCAGGAGTTAGCAAACCTGGAGTCCAATAAATAAGATTGGATATGTTGGTTGGAGCTCCTTGGACTAGTCTTTTGATAATAACCTCTCAAACATTTTGGTGTTTTCTATTCACAAAAAGCTTCTGCTGATGTGAGTCATGAATCACCAGAAGAAATCTCAAAAGGCCTACAATCAAGAACTGTTGATTTGCATCAAGCTAGAAAGGGTTACAAAGTCATCTCATTGAGTTTTGGTGTTCATCAGTCTGCAGTTAGAGACGATTTAGTATTGTGTTTACCTGAGAAGTGGGTGCCCAGCCAAGATTACTCAAAAGGCACAATGCTGAATGCTCAGTGAAGTAAAAACAGAATCCTAGAGTGACAGCTGAAAGCTTGAAGGAATCAACTTAGTAGTTAACGTGTGGCAGGACACCATGGAGAAAGCCTCTGCTTTCCATAAAAAAACATCACTGCATGCCTGAAGTTTGCCAAAGAGCACCTTGACACTCGAAGAAAGCTACTAGGAAAATGTTTTGTGGACTGATGAAACTGAGGTTGAAATGGTTGAGAAGGAAAGGCAGCGCTATCTATAGTGTGAAAAGGGTACTGCGTACCAACGCGAAAACATCATCCTAACAGTGAAGCGCGGAGAGAAGAGCATAAGGATTTGGGGCTGCTTTACTGCCTCTGGCTTGGAATTTTTTTTTTTTTCCCTCAATGATGGCAATTAGTCCAAGTTATCAAGGTACACTACAGGATAATATCTGGGTGGATGTCCTTTGGCTGAAGCTCAGTAGAAGGTGGGCGATGCAGCAGGACAATGACCCTAAACATTAACTCAGAATAGCTTAAAAAAATTTAGTTTGCATTTGAGCTGGCCCAGTTAGAGCCCACACCATATCCCAGTAGAGGTGCTGTGGAAAGACCTCAAGAAAGCCATTCACAGTAGACATCCTAAGAACATGGCTGAGCTGAAGCAGTTCTGTAAGGAAGAGCAGTTATTAATTCCAAGGGTTCAATTACTTTTTCCACCAGCACTGTGAATGTCTATTTCAGGGGTGTCCAATCTTATCTGCAAAGGGCTGGTGTGGCTGCAGGTTTTCAATCCAACATAGCAGGAGGTCACTTGATGAAATGTTTGAAGCCTGAGAGGAACTAGTAAAATCAAGTGTGCTCAGCTTGTTTGGTGTGAAAAGCTGCAGCCACACCGGATAAGATTGAACACCCCTGGTCTATCTGGTATGCACAATAAATACTTTGAAAGATTAGTTGTTTTTGTTATTAGCTTCAGCACAATGTGTTTGTCTATACTTCTGATTTAGATGAAGAATAGATCACCATTTTGTTGACCAATTAATGCTGAAAACCAGGTAATTTCAAAGGGTTTGCATACTTTTTTTGCCACTTTGCATTACATTCTGTAAATATCATATTTAGTAAGACTTCACTTGGGAAAAACTTGATTGATGCTGAAACAAAGATGACTTATTTATTTAAGAGCTAACTCATTTCAGACGTAATGTCTGATTTGTTCAGCTGGCGCTCGATAGAGGGGAACAACACTGTTTGCTTTTGCTGTGAAACTGGAGATTGTGTGGCAGGAAAGATGGACTTATCCAGCATATACCTGGGAGGTATGTGTGTGTGTGTGTGTGTGTGTGGTGAGAGCAGTACCTGCATTCTGGTTTTCTTGTAAAACTCTACAATCAGTTGTCATAATTGTCTGACAAATAAAAAAAAAATACTAATCTTGTCTCTTAAAGAAGAGCAGACTGCAGTGGATGTAGGCCCACTGCAAATTCTACCCACAAATTCACACTCGGCTGGGAAACTTACCATAGGGGATGTAAGCCTCACTTAAGCTGTGACCTGCCTGGAGCATGCTGTACTTCACCAGGTGAGATACTGAACAGTCCAATTGAATTTAATTGAAGATATAATAGTACAGAATTATAGGAGGCTGCACTTAATTCAGGGTCAGTCCATGTGATGTCACCTCCCGACTGACCACCTCTGATTAAATACTTACAGGAAATAATGTAATTGCACCCAGTACATGGCAAAATTTTAGGCTTGCATTTTCATTAGTTCCTGAGATATAGAGGCTATAAAAACAGCCTTAATTTTGGTCTTAGAAATATCATGGGGCCCATATCATGGAACAAAAAAGTTTCTGCACTTGTTTAAAAATGTGATGTGATGTATAAACATTGCTAAAGTTTCATGGTCCATACGTGGAAACTAAACTGCAAAAACAACAAATTCCACTTTTTGTCCACATCTCTGAATGATGTAGATGCAAGTCTGAACTTTTGCATGTATCTGTTAAATCTGAAATGGTCAACTTTTTTGAAATCTTGTGATTTGGGGCAGATTTCAGATACAGTTAATTTAGCTGTATTTGGATTTTAAGCCATTTGAGAGTAAAGTGAAAAGCATTCAAAACTATCTGAATACCTACAAATAATTATTTAATGCTATTCATTGAATTCAGGTTTGTACTGTATTATCAAATACCCAAATACAAAAAACCCTTTTTTCTAACTCTGTTTTATGATTGATAGACCTGTATTATTCTGATCAAAATTATTTGCATATTGTATATATCTGTAGTATTGCAATAAAAATTAATATATAATGTGCTACGCAGTCAGAGCAAACTTGTAGAACTTAGCCAATTATTTTTGTCTTTTTACATTGTTTTATGCTATTTCAGTTTCAAGGAAATTGCTAAATCACAAATGGCACCAATACAAGAAGCAGTTGTTTTAGTAAGATCTGTAGTTGCTCTGTCTTTTTAAATGAATTCATCTCTTTGTTTAAGTGTAATACTGAGTGTCTTTGACTGTTAATGCAGTCTTATTGTTGGTCAGTGTTGCCTTCAATTCTCATTACCTTCCACAATTCCTGAAATGAAGTATCACACATTTTTCAAAAAATGTTGTAGCACTGAAATGGGCAGTTCTCCCATTTTTTGGAGCACCCTTTAAGTGGAGGTTATATCCATCCTGTTTCTTTTAGGTGTTTCCTCACAGACTCAAGCCAGTCCTGCAGAATGTACATCTGTTCCCTTTCCAGTTTTTCTCCTTATTTCCCTGCATACTTTTTGAAAATAAACAAAACTTGTGACCTTCAGTTAAAATGGCTCTCAACTGCAAGTGAGGCCAGTGTAGGAACACCATTCAAAAATATTCCTGTATAGATAGGATCCCATTGTCAAAGAAAACAAAACATCCAGTGTGAACATAAACAAATAGAGTGGTAAACACATCTGTCCCATACTGCTTCATGTGTGTCAGTCCTGTATATAATGCTGTTCATAAATACTGGGGCATTAAAGATTTTTTGCTGTGTATTTGAGCTGTTTGAATTAAAGAAGTTTGTCAAATGAGACAGAAGTGCAGTAAAAAAAATCAGATCACCTTGTTAACCCCCCACTCCCTCTTTTCTGGTCTTGATTCTGTCATTTTGTTTTTGCATCTTCAAGTGTTGCCTAGTAGAAAAAACACCATTTCTGCATTCTAGTTATTATAAATTGTCAGACAAAAGGTTGCAGTGTTGCAGTGCAGGGTACATTTTTGTTCACCCAAGGCACAAACGCTTCTCATGGCATAATCCCTTGTCAAGGCAAGGAGGCTTGTTGCACTAGGAAAGCATATAGCTGTTCTGCCTGGAGTTTTGACTCCTTTCAGTGTCTCCCATAGCAGAAAGGTCTTAATCTTTCCAGACTAAACTTACCATGTGAAATAGTTGTGGGAGAGCAGGGTTTAAGTTGGAGGCAAGTTATTGTGATAGTGTGTCCATTAAAACACAAGAGGATGAATAAACACGCAGGGAGATATCAATAGTTGCTTTATATTATACCTGATGACATTGAGCAAACAGAATATGGCACAGATGATGTTCACAATGTGGATGGATGAGGATATAAGATGTAAGTAGGAACACAGTCACACACTGACTCTTCAAACCATTAGCCTTGCCCTGTCCTGTTGCAAAGATTCATGATTTTTAGAGTTTATGCCTGCTCCCTGGGGAATTTCCGACAGCCACCCCCCAGTATTCTTGCACATTGACTAAAATTAGAATTAAAGAGAATATGGGTCCAGTATAGGCCGAAGAGGAAGAAGATGAGAGACTGGGCTACTGTCATTTTTACCACTGAAACAGTTTTTGAGTTGTTGAGGATTCATTACATGTAACACTGCTAGGGGTGCTGGACTGTCAGTCAGTTTTATTCATTTGTGCCTCAACTGCAAGATAGGGGGAGATTGTCTAATCAGTTCCTAGAGTGGTTTGTCGGGATCTGACTGTTGCCACCGCCACTGTTTCACATTTCAGAGTTTACATATACTGCTTGTAGTAGTGATATATTCCACTGCCCCATGAGCAAATGTTGAGATTGATAAAAGCAAAGCCAGAGAAATCTGAAGATGCATAAACCAAAGGCTTTGAGTTCAACATACCTTCAGTCTCAGTAAGTACTGTCCTCAGCACCTTCTCAGTCACTGACTGGATGCCAAGAACAGCTTGAAGTGCTGCTTTGATGGACATGATTTCCCTTTCCCCTTTTCCCATCAAAATAATAAGCATTAGGAGGGTTAAAGTGAAAGTTTGTTCGCTGTTTAGCCAGCTGTGTCTTCCAAGTAGCGCTGAGGGCTTCAAAAGTTCAGCTCTTTATTTCCTCCTTTGAAGTTTATTCCTTGATCTGACCACAGCTCATAAAGGCACCCTCTCCAGGCAATGCATCTTCTAAGCTGTCCATTTCCATAGACCATAAAGGAGACTGCCATATTTGTAGGCAAGAAGGCAGTAGATTTGCCATTTGTGGAGTAATAGGTTTTGCTCGCAATTGCTTGCATTGCACACAGGACCACTGATGTTTGCACAGTTTGCCAGCCACGTAGTTTCCAGTAATACCTGCGGATTTCTGCAAACACACTTTCAGGACCAGCGTGAAACTAGGTCTCTTCATAATGTTTAATCAGGAGTGTGGTTAAGGGATGTTTGAAATCAAAACTACTTGATGGATGTTGTCCGGTTCACCACTGTTCAACTTCTGCAGTCGGCCTCCGACTCTAATCAGTCAAGTATGATGGTTATACACAGGTGCTAAAGCAAAGAGTTGGAAGCACTTAGAGAGGTTAAGCTAAGACATTCTGTTATGTCATCTGCAGTGTTGCCAACGCCAGAAACGTGTATGTGCAATGCTTTCTGCATCTTCTTTTATGATGAGGCTCCATTGTTCTTAGAAGTGGCGGAGCGGTTCATCACCAAACTCAAAGGTGGACTGCAAAGAGGACAAAGCCCAGAGGAAGGGGGTACGTAGCACTATACTTGCCCCCTCCCTGCCAGGTCAAGCCAGCCCAGAGCAAGGTGGCTGGCAGGGGAAGACAGCAGTGGAAACAGCAAGGCAAGGATTGGCAGTGGAGCCCGCCGAAAGAGAGACAGCACGTACTCACTTACCATGCTACAATGGCAAGTGCGCCTGGGACCAGTACTTCACACATCTGCAAGTGGTTGCTTGGCATTATGGCTGGATGATGGCAATCACCATGATGCAGCTGTGTCTGGCACTGGAGAGGAAGGCAGTGCTTGTGGGCCTGTCGGCAGAACAACATGACGACCTAGCGGCATTGACCACGGCCCTCCAGCAATGATTTAGGCAGGTGCTGGCAGCGTTGACGGTTGGGTGGCTGCTCCTGGAGAAGCAGGAAAAACAGATAACCATGCTGGCTGTAGAGTTGAGCACAGTGGTCTAACAGGCATATCCAGCATTGAACAAGGCTGTGCAGGAGAAGTTGGTGCTGGAGCACTTCCTGAAAGCGCTGCTGCTGGAGGAGCTGAGATGGCACACGCAGGAGTGCTAGCCTAGCCCTTTTCATCTTTTTGTATTCTAGCTCAAAAACAGCCAGTCAGTGAAGATGTTTTTGGGCTCTCCCTGCTGACATTCTATAGCAGAACTTTGCTACATGATGCTGCGCGGCACATCTAGTGTGCAGCGGCATTTTTATCCTTGCTCCTTGGAGAATTTCCAGCATACCACCTATTGGGGAAACAGCAATATAGGACTATGTCAGCAGCTGATGATCACAAAGTTAACATTGGTACAGACATCAGTTCAGCTGAAGAAGGCAATGGTAAACCGCTTCTGTGCATTATCAAGAAAACCACATAGATAGACACAATACAATGATTAATGGTTGTTCCAGAAGATGGGACCTTTGGGTCAGAAGGCACTCATCATGTGACTGAGCAACAGCTAAGGATTCCTCACAGTACATCTTGTGTGTATGATGCAGCTAGATTAAAGCCTTCTGGATATCTGGTTGCTGATGTTGACAAGTGAGAAAAGAGAATTCAAAACTGCAAAACAAAGTCACAGTGAGAACTTTGAATGTATGGAGTATGAGTCATGGTAAGAGGTAAGAAGGCTAGAAGTAATGAAGATGGGTTGTCTACACATCAGCATCCTATGGGTCAGTGTACTGAATTGGACTGGATTAGGGCCCTTTTCCATCAGGAAAACACACCACCTACTACTCGGCTTATGAACAACAAAGGAGAAATGGAGTGGCTTTAATGATCAAAAAGTATGTCAGTGAGTTATTTGATATAATGCTTTGAATGACCGACTGATGTCAGTCCAATTTAGTGCACAACCATTCAGCATTACAGGTTTATTCCCCAACAACAGTTGCAAGCAAAGAAGTAGTTGAAAAGTTTTCTGATGAAGCTTGAGTTGAAATAGACAAGATCTGCAAACAGGATATACTGCTGGTGATGAGAGACTGGAATTCCAAGATCAGAAACAAGGAGGAGAAACAGGAGTGTAAAGGCTAATGACTTTCTGTACTATTACGTTCTTCAAACAACCAAAAACAATCTCTGTGCACCTGGACATCCCCACATGGTTTTGTTTTTGGTTTTGGTGAGACGGAAGAGAGATGGAAGAGCTTATTTTTAATG